ATATATATATATATATATATATATATATATATATATATATACATATATACACATATACATACATATATATATATATAACAGGCATTTGATGATCAATCTTACCTATGGCACTTTCTGGAAAATTGAGCATGACACAATATGGAATTTACAGCATCGTCTAATATCTAGTCTCAGCTTCTTTACAGGAGAGATCAACTGACAATTTTCTTAATATTTTAGTCCATTTGTTGTATGTTTCAGCTTTACAAAAGATGTTACTCATTTCAAACTCACAATTTAGATTGTTGACTTAGCCTATGATAAAATCTAACTTTACCAACTATATTGACTAAATTAGAACCTTAGTTGCATCACTTGGTCAGAGAAACCAAACTTACAACATACTGAACTAAGACTTTAAAAATCTATCTACTTGGTATTTGGTAACTACTTCGATCAATTCCAAACTTAAGATTTTTATACAGGACTTTGAAATTTGGCACAGCCATCAATCAACTGACTGCTCACGTGACAGTATTCAAACTCAACCTGAACTTGGAACAACAGAGAAAACAAGTAAAATATTTTCAATTGTTTAAACCTTGAAACATACTTGACTACTCGAGTACAAATTTATTCTGCCTACATCTGATTCAGCAACAATTAACCCAAAACTCCAAAACAGACCCAAAAAGATGACAAATATGATCTAATATAATGGTCTGGAATTCATTCTAACACAGTCAAAGTACATTGGCTTTCTTCTGGTCCAGTTTGATATGTATCTTGCCTCTGACATCAAGATCAATTTAGTAAAGAAGCTAACTAACCATGTAATCAAATATAAACAATTTACAAATCACCAAATTAAAAAGGTAAACATTGAGGAGATTAACCCCAAACAAATGCAAAATATGACCTCTCTGTTACATTAGTAAAACTATATATCATAGAAAACCTGAGTTGCAGAAAACACATAGAAGTAAAGCTAGTAAAATACCTGAAAATTAATAATTTCTGAAACAAGGTGCCTTTCAAACTTCAATGACAATTCTCTCAGCTCAAACACTTTAACTTGAGGAGGATAAATACCTAACATCAGAATTTATTGCACATGATAAGCATATAGAGATCCAAACAGTGAATAAGACAAGTGTGTTCAGACCTTTATATATTTTAAATCAAGTGACATTATACAATCATGTAAAGGATGTGACAAGAATGAGCTCATACATGGATAGGGCCTAACGATCATGGACAACAAGACAGGTTGAATTGGCATTAGTCATAGTGATGCTAGCAACTCAGCACTTTGAATCAAAAGATAAAACTCGAGTAAAAGAAGCAAACTATTCAATTCTTCTTTTATTTTTTATACCTTATTCAGCTGACAAGAATAGGTTAAATAACAACAATCCATATTGTCTCAACTCCCTACTAACTTTTTTCCCTAAGATATGACAAAAAAAAAATACAATGGTCTGTTATCTAATGCAACCCCATCCAAGCTTATGGCTGGCAATAAAAAAAATCAACATAAAGTATGCATAAATGAAACCACCAACATGTGCTAGGATATAGCAGATCAACTGAAAGGTAAATCTGCATATCCAAATACTGAAGCATCTCTAATAGACTTCATTTCTCAATCATGAACTTCAAAGTCACCTTCACAAGTTCCATCCATGGTTCTAAGACTAGTTTCGACACTGACAAAGGTACTTTGAGTGGACCAGTTCAGTACCTAGACAATGGGGCATACCATGTGTAGGTGATCAGTTTGGATCAAGGAGGTGGCCACTAACCCAAGTTGAAAGAGTACACAATACCCATACTCATCTTGAGATTGGAAGAGAAGAGGTGGGGAAGGAGGAGAATCATTCAGAAAGGAAGGGAGGGGGGTTGGCTGCGATGCAACAAACAGAACAAGGTAGCAGCGATGAGGCAGACAGGAGGAAGCAACAGCAGTAATTCGACAAGGAGGAAGATGAGAGAAAGAGCGATCCATAAGAAAGATGCCTAAGAGAGAGAGCATGTGGAAGAAAGAAGGAAAGAAAGCGAACCAAGAAAAAGCAAAATATGTGTGGTGGTAGGTCTACCACCTGATACAGTTATATATGCTGGATCAAATTTCAACCGGATGCAACGAAATTGTCCAGTCCATGTACCAAATTGGCTCGAACAGAGAAAAGCTAACCCATATCGACCAGTACAATCAGTTTTCTTAATCTCAGTTTCATCATCTGTGCAAAATTTTCATTGTAGTTTCAGCAGCTATACCTCCAAGGGACTCATTTCATATCTCTAAACATTTGCCACCGACCAAAAAACCAAAGGGAAAGATGTGGCCATAAATAATGGTAGAGGCAAAATAGTACAGATTTTTCTTTTATCATTTAATGATTAACAACACAGCCAAGGTGTATGAAATAGGAACGGTATTAGGCGTAAGGCCCAAGCCATTCAAACAAAGAGAATAGCAGCAATCATGGAGAAATTTGGGATCAAGAAATTTGAAGAAGATTTTTTCTAAAATCAACTCACTAACATAGTTGACAATAACTTATTCTAATGAGTAGCATACTTAAAATTTTTGACAATGAAATGTTACAGGTCAAGTTTTGTATGCTTAAAAGTTGGAGAAAGCATAAGTAAGAAAGTGATTTATGTCGGTGAGAAATTTATTATTATTCCAAAATCCAAATATAATGCATACTCCATCACAATATAAAAAATTTCACATATTAAGCCATAAATATTAGCATAACATGTTTTAAATAGTCAGAAACAGATTATGCAGAGGAGGAGCAAGAACAAAAATAGATAATATGTTAAGACAATCCATCATGGGCATGTACACAAGCATTCATATGTCAGTGCATAAGCACATAGACACATATACACAAAGGCAAAACAAACAGAAATCTAATAGAAAATATATGTGTACATAAAAGTTATCAACACATGTTAATTTAGCTATTCATACCTGATGCAATGACATAGTCACCATCAGGAGTCACCTTTATCTTGGTTGTTGCAGTCTCAAATCTTAAATCTTGAATTAAGTCCACCCTCTGCATGTAATCTGATTGATGATTCATGAAAAATCTTAATCAAATAAGCTCAGCAAATTTGTCAGACAAACATAGAAAACAGGATAATGAGACTTGTATAAAATAAGAATAAAGAACAAATCTTTAACAATAAATCTCAAATTTGTTCAACAACGTCTTTGATGTTTCTGCAGTTGCTAGGAATTTGTTAAATAAAAGAAAAGAAGATTTGCATTGAGTTGAAATATAAAATGCAACATAAAATGTGACACAGAAAGGTAATGAACTGAAAATCCAACCTTGACTTGGTCAATAAAGAAAATGTCTTTTTCCTTACTATCTGATATCCCAATACAGTAAAAGGGTATCAGTGTCGTTATAAGTAATAAGTAAGTTCAGGAGCAAAACAAGAAAAAGGAAACACCAAAACACCATAGCAGTCAATATAGTTTGAACATATGTAACATGAATGACAAATTTATATATACAGCTCAAAAGTGGGTACAGGAGGGAGCAAAAAGTCATGTGTCAAAAGAGAAGAGATTATCATGTTGTTCTATGAGGCAGCAATTAATCAATGACAGTAAACATGGTAGAGACCGATAGAGCAACTTTCGCTATTATCCCCGGATTTGCAGCTAAATTTGGATTAATTTATTGTATCCAGAGAATACAGTAGGTATCATTTTTATAGAATTTGATAAACGATTGCTCAAAGATATTCTGAGAACTTAATTAATTTCAAATGTTCTTCTTAGCTATATATCAAATTTCACAAAGGTGTATTTATCAGGGGATAAAAGGAAAATCTGTATCAGATGTAATCAAAGCCATTGAAGTTCACCAAATTAATACAATTAAAACCATCACTAACCATCTTCCTTCAAACACATTGGTCCTTGTCTTAAGGGGAAACAACAGCAGTCTCACACAATGCATATATCAACCACGATTTATATGTTTCATTGCTACTGAAACTAGTGGCTCTGTCCCTTTGCTCTCTAGTCTACCCTCTGCTTCCCTCACCATCCCTTATCCATTCTATTGGCACCACTAATTGACACCATGATAGAAAGAACCATCCATAGCCGTTCCTGACGCTAAATCCAAGGCCAAACTCCCCTTGTACAACAACGAGGAGTACCTCGACACCAACATCGAGAAGTGCATCCACATAGCAGAAGGCAGGGTACTTCAAACTCAACAAAAAACCCATCAAGTGTTTTCCTTTACCTTTGTTCCAAATTACCTTCTGTTCCAAGATCTCCTCTTTCTAAATCATATAGTAAATCTTAATACAATGAGCCATTAGTTTAGAACAAGTCGAATTTTTTTCGCTGATGAACAGAGAGGTGTTTCTGATCAAAAATTATCTTAAGAACGTCAACGGCAAACATAATTTCAATAGTTAACTGCAAGGTCGAAAGTCTTCTACCAAGAAGAAGGCGAACATGATAATAAAACGAAAGAGAGGATGCAAGAGAAGATACCTTTGTCTTTGCGAAGGGCTCTGAGCTTCTTGGGCGGAAGCCAAGTGGCCACGGAGCGCTGGCCCGAGAGGGAGTAGAGCTTCACGCCATTGATGGAGGTGGACCTGATGTTCCCTCCTCCTTTGGATGTAGAGTTTATGGAGGTGGACCTGATGACCTCAAATGCAAAAACATCACAAATACTTTTTAGATTGTTTTCCTTTGACTTTCTCGAATCCTGGATTACTCTCTTAAACCCTAGAGAATATCTCATCAACAACTTACTCGAAAAAAATGTTGAACCAATTAATACTGTTCTAGACTTCTAGTTGATTGTCCAGTTTGCCTTAGACTTAGAAAAGATCAGGAACCTTAAACTAACGGGAAAGAACACGTACCTAATGGGTTCCCCGTCGTGTTTGAGGCGCTCCGCCTTCTGCTGGGCTTCGATGGACTCGGGAAGGGGGGTGCGCTTCTGGATGACGGCGTCGGCGCAGGCCTCATCTTTGTGGGAGGAGACTGGGGAGGGTTTCTCCTTGGGTTTAGCCTCGGAAGAACCGCCACGTGCGACGCTCTTTCCCATGTCGGCAACCGGCGGCAACGAAACGACGAGGAGAGGCAGCGAGGGCGGCAGACGGGAGATCGAGAAGCGAAGGGAGAGAACCACCGGCGACAGCGGCAGACGAGCATGTAAATCGTGGTGACGGCGGCTGTTTCCCTAAAAGAGGCGACGTGTTCAAGAGACTGACGGTTGAGATTACATTAAATCGGTGAAACGAACGGTCGTGATCACAGTCGAATCAAAAATTTTCTTTTGGTTCTTTGCTAACGAGTATGTTTTCTTTTGATCGATCCGTTAACTGTCTTTTCCCTCCCGCTTTCAGGAATCCAACTTCGAGCCCTTCCGCTATCTCCTCCACTTGAGTGCTCTCTATCTTCTTTTTCCTAATCGGATTCGAGGCGAAAGATCCGATCCACTACCGATCAGCATTGTCATATATCTCTATATTATACTCTGTTCTGAATATAATATATCAAAAATCTGAATCGATATGACGAATGATCACTTATGATTCTAAATCAGATTTTTTTTTTCATGAAAAGATAAAATCATTTCGTTCATGTTATATAATCTTTTCTCTCTTGTCACTGGTCGCCTATGATCATCTCCCTCGTCCTTTGTTAATTTTCTTATTTTTTCTATATTTTATTTTTCTCTTGTTTTTTCTTATATTGTAACTTCTCATTCGTCTACTATCATGTGTTTCTTTTGTCTATCGATCATGCTTATTTTTATCACTTATGTTATTATCATCCTCTTTCTTATTTTTATCGCTTAGGTAATTATACAAATTTTATACAATAAAACACATTTTAACACAATTCATTGAATAACTTTTTAGAAGTTTATTTGAGAAAAATGATTAACTAAGACCATTGTGTAAATTTTATTATTTTTGCTCAGTCTTTTTTTTTCTTTTGAAGTGGTGATAATTATGCTAGTTTTTTATCTATTTATTTATTTGGGGGAGATTCTTTAACTCTTTCTCATATCAAAAGCAGTACTTATTGATTTTAAAAAATAAAACTATTTATTGGTTATATAAAAATAAGTTAATATTATGATTTACTTTCATCCTCGTTGATTTTATTAGCTAAAACTATGAGCTAGTTGACTTAATTGATAAAGATCTTAATAGATCATCATAAAATCATTGGCCCATATCATCATTCATATTTAAAAAATATATATTGAATATAAATATAAATATCTAACTATCATGATTTTTGCCTCTCTATTGTAGAATAATAATATCAACATAACAATATTTATACTCTTTCACTTATAAGTGAACATTGTCAAACTCATATTTAGAATTTTATTGAAAATATGATAAATTTGAATATACATATTAATATATTAACAACAACAAAAATTAATTATAGATTTAATAGGAGTTGAAGAGATTGTTTAGGGACAGTCGATGTAGATCGTTGGCATGTCAAATCATACACCTATAAATCTCAAAAAGAAATATATCATGATCGAAAAATATATGCTTATAAGCCAAACACAATTTTTTTTTCTCGTGGCTACTAATTTTTATAAAATATTTGATTTTAGATTATCAGCATAATTTTTTTTATAATTAATCAAATTAATTATTATCATGTCTACCAATTATTTTTTATCATAATTATTTTATATCCACTATATTATATAGCTATTGTTAAGAGAATAGTATGAATTGAATGGCACAGTGATACGATACATACAATATAATAAGTAATATTCCTATATGTTAACAATATACATATTTTAATACAATTCACTAAATAACATTTTAGAAGTTTATTTCAGAAGAACGATTAACTAATATTGTTATGTAAATTTTGTTGTTTCTGCTCAGTCCATTTTTTTATAGTGGTGATAATTATAATAATTCTTGATCTATTATGTTTATTAGATCGAGATTCTAAACTCTTTCTTATATCATACAATAAAAGTATGAGATAGAAAAAATACTTATTGATTTTAGAAGCTAAAACTATTTATCGGCTAAAATTATTTGATCATCATCCTCTCATTCACGAGTTTCATTTATATTATTGTTCTTCCTCTGCTAGATTGACGGCGACTCGACTGTAATGGAGTGATCCATTAAGTCAATGATTTGATAATTCCTTTATTTATTATTTATAATTTATGATCTATGAATTATGCATAATCATAATTTAATTTGATTATGCAAAAGATTTCTTCGAGCTGTTTTTTTATTTATTTGGTCTTTTAAAGAATCTAAAATGATATTTTGATTCCATTGCTATGTTAGATTCAGTTTGATTCTCATATGGATATGTTCTTCCCAAAACTCTTTTCCTTCTGTGTCTCGAAACAAGTCGATCTAGATTTTGACATGTAATGAATCCTTGACTTAAACTCGTTTTACAATCCTATCTTAAAATTTTAATTAGATTTAATGAATAAAAAAATATATATTATTTGAAAAATATCCAATATATTATTTTAATACTATCCAAAAGCCAAATCCAAACCTATCAAATTCGGTCCACTAAATGCCCTTGAAAATATATAAAAACAAAGGATGAACATTTATATATAAAGGTAAGATTGTTCTTTTGAAAGCAAGATTAGGTACATCAACTCTACTTAGACGCTTAACAACACCTGAAATATTAATCCAAGATATACATCCATGATTTATGTTATGATCTTAAATAAAATTAACTATTATAGTATATGTCCAAATATTTCAATCATACAAAATCAAATATATTAGACTCAAATTTAGAGCTACACGTAAAGTGTTTTTGAGTGTAAAAGGATTTTTCATCTACTTCAGCTAGTAAAATTCCAAAGTAATCTCGCCCTTGTAAATCCGACTGCTTCCTAACCTGTGCAGGGTGAATTCGACCCATTCTATGAAGAAGATGATCATAGAGAACCGACAAATCCGTGCAGAATCTGAGCAAATGTATAGACTCAGGACCTGACATATTAACTCCGTCCACTGCTCCTCTTTCAACGCATTAAAATCTACCCACTGCGGTAGATCAAAGTATTTAATCCATGAATCCAAGCTCGTCTTTGTTACTGCTTCCAATGGCTTCATCCTTATCTGACGCATTCTTACCTAACCAAGAGCTTTCGAGACACCCTATATCAAAGACTATGACACTGCTGATAGAGAGTTGAAGACGAAGTCCCAGTCTCATGAGCCAGCTCAGGTTGGTCCTCTTCTGCACCACATTTATTGCTCTCTTGTGTTCCTCAGAGGTCATCTCACTTGTTTGAGGACAAATTACTATGAATGAGATGAACTTGTTCAAACCATTCACGGTTCCTTCATTCACTGATTTCACTGGCTTCCCTGTATAGGATGTAACGTCAAAGGTAGATCTAAAGATCAATGTAGTTTCCATCATTATGTCTCAGGGACCCAACTCCCAGCTAACCTGCTTCTGATCATGTTTCCTCCACTATAAAAGCACCACCATGGTAAGCCAGTCCCTCCACCACCTTTCTAGAGTTACAGACACACGGAGACAAGAAGAGGGACGTAGCCATGGCTTCCTCCAGTGCTCTCCTGGCAGTGGCGCTCACCTGCCTTCTCCTCGCCGCGCCGCACACGGCGCAAGCCGCGATCGGCTGCGGCCAGATAATCTCCTACCTCATTCCCTGCCTTGGCTACGCCCAGGGCACGGGGCCTCTCACAGACGGATGCTGCAGCGGGGTGAGGGCACTCAACGGCGCCGCCCAGACCACACCGGACCGCCAGGCCACCTGCAACTGCCTCAAGAGATCCGCCGCCGGCGTCTCGGGGATTCAGCCCGGTCTCATCGCCGGGATCCCGAGCAAGTGCGGCATCAATGTCCCCTACCGCATCAGCCCCTCCACCGACTGCTCTCGGCAAGTGCCCGATCACCATGCCAAACATTACCGATCATACACAAAGACCTAAAACAACTGAGAGCTGCCTTAGTTGACAGCTCGTACAAGTCTTGCATGGAATAAACTCTAATAACACATCATGCGTGACTCGACCAAACTCCAAAAATCGTACTCTCCCAGCGAAGGCTAAACCTTAGCTGGGTTTGCATCAATACTAAGCTTTCTTATTTGATCTTTTGCAGGGTGAGGTGAGCTGCTGATTTAACCTGAAGAAGGCGTTTAAGGTAGTGAGTTCTATCTAATAAGGTGGGACTGTTGTCTGCACCGTGTCATCAATTTGTGTGGGAGCGCTCTCAGCATTATTGTAGCTTTGATCTCTGTGCTGCTGTCAATGCTACTGTTCCAGTGGGTTGGGACTTGTAGCACCGTTACTATCTATATAATATGAGTTCCATTAAACAAAAGATTGAGTTACTCTTTAGTCTGTGTTTGCTATGGACTTCTTTTGGCGAATAAACACATCCGAAAAGTGTTCATTACCTGAGATAAAATGTGATATTACGCAGCTATTTATTTATACAGAATATTATTTTTGAGGAAAGTCTTGATGATCTGCTTGATTTTGCTGTCTCATTAATTGTTGCTAAAAGGAAAGAAAAAACAGCTGATTGTTGTATATCAGTTACATAATCCCCTACTGTTAAATTCATTTTATGATAATTTATTAGCCAAAATTTTTATTGCATGAACATTTTATTTTATCTGTCTCTTCTAAACTGTTGAAAGATGATGAACTACTATCTCGTATAAGAGGGGTTTAGAAAGCGACGATGAAAAATGAGGACAGATAGATCTCGCCAGGATAATAGACAAAAGCGTTAACGAGTGCTACGTGGAAAATTTCAAAAATTATGTTACAATCTCGAAAATTTTTAAGACCTTTTTTTTTCGTTTATTCGTCATATTTTACTTTTACTTTCTTATAAATAGATTATTCAGATTCAATAAAAATCCACTGAGGTATGTGACGTGTGACAGCCTCCGGTTGACAGCTACGAAGCGCTAACAATCGTGAACCCTGTCGTGGCCGAGACAGATGAGGCCCACCCTTGGTCACGTCGTTTGTCCCTTGCCATCGTCGCTACCAAGTAGCTGTTTAACTGGGCCCACACGGGAATCAGCGAGTCAGGTGAAACCGTAGAGTAAATTCTGCAAATTACGCGCCAAACACAGCACATCAAAGTACGACACACGTGGCAACTTATACACCGTTGCCCCAACAAAAATTAAGGCAGTGACTTTTTATACTCCTTCTTAGCTACTGCGGCCACCTGCCTTGTCATTGGATAGTTTCATGTGGGACCAATTTATCGCAGCATACCTCTACGTAGTAGCTCGGAGCGAGACCACGGGAATCCTGGCGGCTCCGACGAACGGTCCTTTGGGTACGTGACGCTGGCATCTCGAAACTAATGGAGATCACACGTGTCAAATCACGCACCGTTGCTTGAAATCAGAGGAATCTTTTTGGTAGGAACTTAGCAGTGACTCGTTCCATTACCTTCCATGTAATTGGATGTCATATCGAGGCCCCGATACTGGTTTCCCAGCGTAGGAAACCGATACGTGGGCGAAGGATCCCACTAAGCGAGTCTGACGTGTATAAAATGCCGCATAAAACCCCCCAGCGATCAAATTACTTGTTTCTTTGGTGCTCCTCTTCGAACCCCACTCTTCGTTCGCGTAGTCGGCAATGGCTGCTGCGATCCATGGCTTCGTTTCCCTCCGAAAACCTAACCCTAATCTCAATGGGATCCGAGCTTCCTCATCTTCCTTCTCCTCCACAATCCCATTAGGCACCGCCCGCCGCCTTGTGGGTTCGGCTCATCCTCCGCTCTCGCATAGGGATTTGGGAGCTCGGCTACAGTACCTGGATCGGCGGACGTCCAAGATTCCATTTGTGGCTTCTCGCGAGGAACCGGTGAGCCGTAAATAAGCTACCGTCGCTGTTTCTAGCGCATCCATTTCGGGTCCACTGTTCATTAGTTTATGTTGCATATTTGTTCTTGTAGGATTTCTTTTTTCTCGATTAGGGGATGCCATCTTTGGATATTTATCTGCTTAAATCCTTCTTGGTTTCTGTTACTTTTTCCTTGGTTTTAAATGTTTAGGAGTAATAATTGTTTCGTTGTTTTGTGTAAGCTTGTAATATCACGGAAAAATTGAACCTTGTTGTCTCTTGAATCTTTCAAGGCATCAGGATCTCTATGTAAATACATGGTGTTGATGTTGATCTTTAGCTAATTTGAGATGAGAACAAAGACACACTTGACTTTACTTGAAAGACAAGAGTGGAAAAGAGTTAAAAAGTCTATGTACCTGTGAAGTAGTTGGATCAGAAAACCAGAAATTGAAGAGTTACAAGTTTATATTGCTGAATATGTTTGCAATGCCTCTGCGTTACATTCAATCTGAAATGTAATTAGTTACAGTAATTTCCACACTAAATACCACCCCAAGTTGAACAAAGAAAGATTACTTGAAAGACGAGTGGAAAAGAGTTAAAAAGTCTATGTACCTGTGAAGTAGTTGGATCAGAAAACCAGAAAATGAAAAGTTACAAGTTTATATTGCTGAATATGTTTGCAATGCCTCTGCATTACATTCAATCTGAAATGTAATTAGTTACAGTAATTTCCACACTAAATACCACCCCAAGTTGAACAAAGAAAGATTATTTTTTCAGACAGGATTTCATTAAGTTGAATGCTATCTCATCAGATAAAATATCATTTCCAATATGTATTATGTTTACTTTTGCATGCATGTCATTGAGATTTCTTGTTTAAGGCAAAGAGAGATATTAATGTCTGTCTTAATTCTTATATAGAAGCATTCAGATATTGAACTGCAGAAGGAGATGACTGATGCTGAACTAAAAGCTGCAGTGTCACATGAAGCATGGCAGGAGGCACTCGAACACTTCAAGACAGAAGCCATGAAAGTCAAACCTGTGTCAGAAGAAGCATACCAGGTGTACACGAAGAAAGCAATGGAGATATTAACAGATACATCTGAGAAGCTCAAGATACAAGCAGAAAAGGCACAACATGACTTGAATTTAATAGCCAAAGAAGTCTCAGAACAAGGAAAAGAGTATCTTTCTACAGCAACAAAGAATTCTCCTGATTCAGTTAGGGAAATTTTCGAGACCTATGCATCAACAAATGAGTTGAACATGTCCTCTATCAGAGATTTTTACCTTGGGATTCCCTATGGTATGCATGATAACCTTCATTCATCTATTGGATTTTCATGGATGTGTCTTTTATGATTTCTTTTCTGGTATTGTATTTTTAAAATAAATTCTAGTGTCACCAATAGTATGTCACTTCCTTCATTGTCATTCTTACTAGCAGAAAATTAATTTATTTGTTGCAGGTTCCTTTCTTTCCATTGGAGGTTTCATCTATTTCATCCTAACTGGAAGCATTCCTGCGATTCGATTTGGTGTTGTTCTTGGCTCTATAATTTTTGCTCTAAGTGTATCAAGCATGAGGTCATGGAAGAATGGAAAAACAACCCCACTTCTTTTAATTGGGCAAACTGGTCAGTCTGTTCCTTCCAATTGTTGTCTCATTCCTTGTTCATATTCAGAATCAAGCTATAATATTGCTGAATGTCATGTGAAGTTATTCCTGTAGTATTGCCTACTGGAAACAAGGTTCAATAAGTTTCATTGGCTGTTTTCAGTTTCTTTTGTTTTTTTTGACTCTTTTTTCTTTTGGATTTAGCTAAGAGAGTAGGATTAGCTAATTGGAATTTGTACCACCCATAAGCAAAGGAGGTGGTGACTCTTAGTGATTCCTTGACATTCTGATGATAGAGTTCTTACAATCTGGTGCTTAAAAGACGCCCATCATAAATTTCATTTGAAGATCTCTAGAGATCAGTGTTATGCCTTTCAAGCCTTAACAGTGATGATTTTTCCAGACGAAGAAATCTGACTTAGTGATTCTTATCAGAACAAATGTTTGTTGAGTGATTATGATACTGCCGGTTTTATTTGGACTACCACCATAGATTCTTTAGCATGAACACAAACAGGATAATATCAGTATCTACTTTGAGTGATCGGAATATATGATAAATTCACTATAGAGTTATGGTATACCATAGAGTTGGCTGGTCCATGGTCCACAGGCTGGGGATTTGTATTGTTTGATCAAGTTTTCAGGTAACAATTTTGAAAAGATCCAACCAAATTGCATTTCAGGTTTGTATAGCTCTTGTCCTTATAGACCAATGATGCAGTTGAATGCATGGTGACACTCTTTCTTCTCTTCTTTTATTGTGTATGTTTATTTCCATTTTTAACTCCTTCAGTCCTTCGTGTTCCATTGTATTTGTGTAGCACTGTTGTAGGTATTTTTTGGGTAGTTTACTGCTGAAATTTGAAAACAACTTGTATAAATGCAACAATTGGACAATGAGGATAACATAGAAACATACCCTGAATGTTACTTGTGGTTGATAAGTATCTTATAGTTAAGAGATATTACTAGGTAGGCTTGTGTTCCTTGTTATGGGTAAATATCATATGGATAAAAGATGTTCTAAATAGCCACTTATTTTATTATGCTCTAGAAATGATAATAGAGATTCAAAATTAATTCATTCTATGTTCTTTCTCCATTCCTATCCACATTGTTTCGCCAGCATCTTGGATTCCTTTCTTACTTCCAACAAGCAATCATGCCTCATTTTGTGATATTAACTTCAATGACTTAAAGAAACAGTGGTTAACAACTTTGGCTATATTGATATGCCTAGAAGGCCCTGGTCAACTAGATGGCCCTAATCAAAAGAAAATGAGGCTTCTGAAGATGAGTTTACCTACACTATCTTCAGTGGTAGAGTGACTAGATCAACTTAACGAGTCATGGTTTTATCTTTAAATGATTCCAGTTATTATTTGATAAATGATGATTTTTAATCAAGGTTAAAGAAAGAAAAGATTATGATGCAGGAAAGTTTAGAATTAGGTGCATGGTTAGGAGCGAGGTAAAAAGAAAAAAAGTTATAGGAAGTAGGATCATGATCAAGATGATCACTTTGGTATTGGGATTTGGTTGAATTGGATGAATTGAAAATTTCAATCAGATTGACAGAGAATTGGCTAGTCTTCATCGGCTGAAATTAGTCAAAATTTGTCCCTTTGGCCAATACTAGTTGGGATTCATTGGATTAACATCTGGTCAGAACATTGTTGTCCATTTACCTAGGCTTGATTAATATCTGGTCCAAAAGAGGTTACATATTCTTTTCTCTATAGGAACGTTTTCTACAGTCTACACCATCTTCATGTGATGAAGACATGGTAATATTACCAATAAGATTTTATGTTAGCATATGTAAAAGAAAATATGTTGCTCGTCACCATTATGTTGAAAGCTTATTTTGGTCTTTGCTTATTTGCTTGATTCTCATATTTTTGCAATCTGTTTCTAATTAGCTTCTTGACTTGATATTTCAATTTAATAGCTATACTTATGGCAAATAATGTATTCATTTCTGCAAGCACATCTAATAACAATAACTGGTGCAGCAATATCTGCTATTATCTTCTTCAGGCAGTGCTTGTTGTGTTCTCAGGTATTGATCTCTTTAATTATGCACAAGTGAATGACAAGCTAACAATGTTAATTTAGATTATTAGATTCTTTTGAGATTGGTACAAATTTTCATTTGGTTTTGATGGCAGAGGGGATCATTTCCAAACCTTTTGATGCTCCTTATCAGGTTAGTATGCTTTAGAACCTTCTGTGTTTACTGCATATCGTCGTCGTTTTAAACAAGATACTTGTATCATATGGCCATACTCCTCAAATTCCAGATAGTTCATGGGGTGTTATATATCAAGTGATTTATATTGTATTAATGAAAACTTCCAACAAGGTTCCTGAAGACCTGCTATTTTATAGAAAATGAATGTTAACCTGGAAGTTGAATAACCTGTAAAGATGATGTCAATTCTGGTTGGTTTATCATAAGGACCAAAATACCATGTAGACAGTGAGAAATTAAGATTCATGATGATCTATGTCTTCTTGATCAGTGTTTTTAAAAGTACTAGGTGCCAAGGTCCCAACTCCCAACACACTCGAGGCATCTACTCGAGCGAAGTGAGGCATTCTAGAATATTAAAATATAAAATAATATAGTTTTAAATTATATTAAAATATATATAATATAAAATATGATAACAGTAGTTTTAATTATCAGTTCTAAGGATTAACAATCCACTGTTAATCGTAGTTATAACAGTGCGTAGTAGGGGGAGGGGGGAGACGGGGGGAGAAGAATAGTCAACGATGGTGGAAGGTGGGAAAAGAGAGGGCGGCGGTGATGGAGGAACCTTCGGTTGGCAGCAGCAATGGCGGAGAAAGCTATAGTCCTATTCCTTGACGGCGGAGGGAGATACACACGAAGGATTAGGTGGTAGAGGGAGCTGCGCACAAACAAAAGTGGCCAAGGAGGAAGATTTGAACCTTTATGTCAGTGGCGAAGGGCTTAGTCAACGGCAGAAAGGGAAGATTGGACCTTTTCATCAGCTGCAGAGGGCACAAGGACGGATCCTAGGGTTTACCGAGCGAGTCGGGGGTGGATTTCGATGTTTACTGTTGGACTTAGTTGGTTCGATTGAACCGACTAAGTCACTATCGAATCAAACCAGAGTCTAAAATCTGGTTCGACTCGAGTCTGGTTTGACTCATTGGATTCAAACGAGCGCTCGTCCGGGGCACCTGACGCGTAGGCTTAGGTGAGCACTTAGGCCGTGCTTCAGTGAAGCGCGTCACCCGAACCCTATGCGAGGCGCTCGGGCCTCGCCTGAGTGAAGAGATTAAAATATTTTGAAGGGTAGAAAAATTATATAATAGACTATAGTGGCCTAGCACCTCTAGTGAAATCTACTCGGAATATTTCATCAGACTTGACCTGAGGATTAATAAGAATAAAGATTTTGGAGACTTTCATATATATTTGTGGACTTGCATGAAATTTAAATATTGAGTTTTCAAAACTTAGTCTAATATACACCAGTACAAAAATTCCTGTTGCCTTCCTGGTCTAGAGAGACATTTTCTTTAGAGCTTTCTATTGCTATACTGCTTGAGGCAAGATCATATCGAAATGGTTGACTGGACTGATCTTCGACCCTCTTGATACTTGCAGAAATTTCTCTGTGTCATCACTCCTGACAACATTAAATATTTCTCACTGCTGTTAGATAACCTCCTTTTTACATTCTTACAAAGTCAGGTTTATTATCTTACCTGAGGCAATAACCATCCTGTTTTGGTATATAGTGGTTCTATGGCAGGTTTCTACATTTATAGAATGGTAATCGATGGTCACAAGGCTCGCCCAAGTGTGGAACAAAGATCAGAAAATTAGCAGCCATGATGGAGGTTACCTACCTGCCTCTGGAACTTCTACCACTCATTTAATCTTTTTGTATTAGGATGTTCTATCCTTTTTAACAAGTTAATATTTGTCCATTGCTTTCTAGACTTGATATAAGATCTTATCACACACAGGATGGGTAGGTGAAGATGACCATGATAGGAAGTGACTGCTCCTTCCTACTTGCATCACTCCACCTTCCTCCCGCCATATATGTGCCAGGCAAATATCTACCAATTTCTTCTGATATCAGGTAAAGTAGTTGGGTTATGGTATGATGGCTCTAAAATTTGCTGTGCCTGAAGGTCTCCAATTTGTGGCTTTTAAAGAATGCAATTTGTGTTTCCCTCTTCTCCTTTCAAGCAGACAAGTAAATAAACATACATACATCTTAGTCTTATAAAAATTCCCTTGTATGTCTAAAATTGGATTAATTATTGTCAGTAGGCGCTATTGTGAGCAGATGTTTTAACTCCTATGTTGCTTCTCTATGCATAGGTTCGGGTATTGCATGGCATGACGCACACAGCAGGATATGCTAAGAGAAAAAGGCGCAAGCGGAGGAGGGAATGGGAGGAGAGAAAAGAAATTAAAATAAAACTCATGAAAAAAAGATTAAAAATTTAAATATTATTAAGGTGAGATAATATATAATTTATGTATTAATAGTAATCATGTATTCAATGTATACCGAAACGATAAAAAAAATCATTGTGTCGTATGAGCCACATCAGCAGTAGTTATGCAGATGTGGCGATAGGTAGATCGTCGATGTTGGTGATATGGCTGATCTGACAGAACAGCTGTGCCGGCATCCGTTGTGTCATAATGGCCACACGATCGGCCACGTTGATGATCATGAGGATCAGTCAGTCACGTCAATAACCGCTGATCCAAATCAAACCGTGTCAGTGGTCATTACACCGTCGGTGATCGTCGAAACAAAGATCTGATATAGAATAGCGATCCCTGTGGTCGATCTGACATTAACGGTCACGTCGGCATTCGTTGGTGATTGTTGAGGTCGAACGGACACGTTGATGATCGTTGGGATTGGTCGCGTCATCAATCGTTGATCCAAATCGACCATCAGATTGACCACATCGACAATTGCTTGCTCTAATCACAAGTGATTAGAGAGCGTCAATGAATGATAAATATGTAGATCATATTCTCTGTCCTAACCTTTTGGAGACCATCCAACGCGCCCCTTCAAATCCAAAAATCCGATATTAATCTTTTCTCTCATGTGTGTACTTTGACAGTAACGAGGTATCACTTTGGGAGGTCAGGAGGTCCACCTGGGTGCTTCAACTCCACGTCGACAGCACCTTGGTTACCTCATACAGCGACCGACGTCGGAGAACATATATTGGATTAATTACATATTAATTTTTACGATTAATTATCTTAGTATCTCGATTCTTATATTTTAAAAAATTATATTGATATCTTTACAAAGTGAAACATCTATGTTCATTTACTATAATATCGTTAGTAAATAAAAATAAAAGATAAAAAATAATTTTAATATTTTAATTAGTGATGACGGATGATGGTGCCACTTGATGTTGTGGGTGGTTGTTGCAGATGAGGAGAGCAGCGACAAGAGGTGAGGGTCATTATATATCTACGTCGATGCCAACGTAATTGTTGAGTGGTCCTTTCACTACTCGACAATTGTGTCAACGGCGACAAAGTTATCAAGCAGGTCTTTCATTACTCGACAATCGTGTTGATTGTAATGTAAATGCAGAGCGACGTTGCTTAGCAATTACGTTGGTACCGACACAATTATTGAGCGATGAAAAGACTATAGAGATGCCGAGCAATGCTATTTCATATTTGCATCGATATTAACGTAATTGTTTAGCAATGTCACTCTACATCTGCGTCGTCGCCAACATAAATGTAAAGTGACGAAATAGTCGCTCAACCATTAAGTCAACGTCGATGCAGAGCGATTATCATTTTTTATCATCGCTCTTTTTATCCACAATAGCCACCCGCGGCTCTTAGCGGTCTCGTCGTTCATCACCACCAACTGAAACACTAAAATTATCTTTTTATCCTTTTGTTTTCGTGTTTTCGTTGGTAAAACTAACGATGTCAAGATAAATGGATTTACATATTTTATTTTCATAACTATAAGAACGCATATATAAGGACCGAGATACTAAAGGTAACTAACTTCATGAGTAATATATAATTAGTGCCCATATAAAGTATATAACATTTTTATTATATTTATTGATAAAATTCATCCATCAAATACATCAATGGCCCAAAATATTAAAGCTTGACCAATAAATCGATAGAGTTGATAAAATTCATCCATCAAATACATCTATTTACACAAAGCAAATAGAGTATCTATTAATGATACGATTTTTCTTTGGCCTCAAGGTGTGTTCCGTGCACTTCAAATCAAGTCTTGAAGGCCTTTTGTTAGTTTAAGACGACTTCTAATAGAAAAATCTGTTCAATTCCAATATCCAAGTAATTAAGCAATAGTAGATCGTATAATTGACATGTACCACTCACAAAACGATGGTATATTATTCGTGTGTATTGGATACGGTATCCAATGACTGATAACATATCGCATTTTTTTTGGGATCCACGTTTATCCAATCCCCTTAAATAGGATCCGAAGACCCTTTAATCAAACTTGAGATAGATACACACGCGAGAGTACCCAAATCGACCCCACTCTGGATTCAAATACCTAAATATTTAATTGGATTATAGGATGATTTGACCAATACCCATCAATTACTTATAGCCTAAAAAAATACCTCTACAATTCAAATCATCAAAACGCAATTAATACTTCTCGATATTGATGCTAGCATGTTCTAAAAATCTGGGATTCACATTATTCATCACTCTGATCTCTTGCATACATGATTTCATAGATTATCAACACAACTAATACATGCTCCCTAAAATTTAGGCTAGTTTCGACTACATAATCCAACAAGAGATCAACATTATTCATCACTTGGGTATGTAGCATACATGCATATTAGTTATCGTCACAAAATATAGTATTCCTGAGATTGATGCTGGTTTAGCCTAAGAAATCTAACTAGAGATTCACATTATTCATCACTAGCAGCTGGAGCATACAACCATATTGTTTATATCATCTACAAATCCAATGGCGCCTTAATAAGCTTCAGATTTACAAAAAGGATGCAGCGGCAATTCAGATTTGCAAAAAAGATAAAGCCGCATTTGGCAGGAACGATCAGATGAAAAGAGATATGCAGCGCTACCATCTCAGATGTCACCATGATGGACATGAATCTGTCCTTCCTGATTGTCAAGTGGCATGTACTGGGCCATGATAGCACGGATCTCCGAGTCCATGTAACTCTGGCAAAAAAGATACAATTATAATAAGATGCTGAATCAATACTATGGATTGCATACCGATAGAGTGCTGCATCATCATGAATCATGATATCATCAGAGATTCCAGTTGGCTAAGGTGAGACTATGTATTAAGAGGAGGTTTAATATTTACAGGGAAAACAAAAGGTTGACCGAGGCAGGGTTCACAATTTCACAATGTCTGGATCACTATAATGTGTGGTGTCAAAATATGATCGATAAAACAAAGATATTTTGGAAGATAAGCTAACAAGAGACCAGCATTACCCGGATTCTGTACTTGTATACAGCATAGCCTCCGATTCCAGCTATGACTAGGCCAAAGAGGATAACCCACAAGAAGCTCCAGCCAACCTCTGTAGAAGCCTTTTTGCCTGGATATTTGGAAATGCAATATTAAACATTCTGAAAAAAAATACCTTTCTGAAAGAAAACCATCTAGCAAATTTTTAAGGGCTGAAGTAGCAGATGCATTTCTTCATTTTTATTGTGATTCATTGTAACCAATAACAGGTGCCTTTCCAATTCTCCTGTTATTACACTGAAAGCTAAAGATTGAATGCTAAAGACAAATGAAATAAGCATTTCTAGTCCCTAACATCATCCTGTATTTAGAATCCTTCTTTTGCCGCTAAGATTAAGCTTTTATCATGAACAATAGCTGGAACACAGATAGTGGATTGGATATACGTACTTATGCATGTGTCATGTTCCTTCATGTATAATAAATCACCACCGCAGCTGCACTCGTAACTACCCCAAGTGTTCTTGCATTTGCAGCCAGAACACTGACATGCTGTCTTTTCCTTGCATTCATCAACATCTGAAACAGAACATAATTAGAAATGCATTACAGACCAGAGAACTAAATAAGTACATTGTTGCATCTTCTGACCTCCATAAAAATGATATCAGACAATGGAAATACATTTTGTCTAAATGAGATGAAACAGAAGGACAAGAACTCCAAATATGACTGATTCCACTGATAGCACCGTAAGAATATATTTAGAAAAGGGTGAGGAATTATAAACAAATGAGTTGAAAAGGAAGGACCAATATTTCAGACATGATTGAATTACACTAGTGGCAGCTAAATTGTCATGATGTGGAGCCCTAAAGCTCAAATAATCAGATTAATGAACATTGCCTTCGATAATGATCTGAAACCAAAAACCGAGGATCATGAAGAAAATACCTTCACACTTGTTAATTCCATCACCCTTAAAGCCAGGCGGGCATTTGCATCCGTCCTCCTGCATGTTGTGTATCTTACTAATCAGATGCTGGCTAAAGGTCAAACTAAAATGGACTTGATCAAGTCAACCTACCACACAGGCAGAGTATGTTTTCCCCTCATGAGTTTTCTTCCAACACCCTCCGTTATTGATTTCACATCGCCCATATCCTGAAGCTGTAGTAGGAAAAGTTATGTCTACATGTAGTTACACTAGTAAAGTTATGTATATTACCGTCCTAGTCAGAATTAATATGATTAACAAATTAATTAGTTGCTAAAATAACGAGTTATAGAAAGATGGGAAAAAGCAACAACCTTACTAGCAAGAATTTATGAAAGAATTTTCTCAGCTTACAAACAACTAAAATCATTAATTAGGAAGATTAGCAGTCAAATGAATCATCTCAAGAATATATCTTCCAAACTTTAGTTGATGATATTCTGCAATTGCCCATGATGTCATGATGCAGTGAATTGTACTTGGCTGATGGATAAGGTACAGCAATATCTATCAGTCATCAACAACAGCAATATTCTTCCTTTGTTTCTCAGTAAGACAGTAGTAAACCTGTTATAACCCCTAATTGTCCTTAATTCCCGTGTTCCTTTCCTTAGGTCAGCATGGGTCCATTGCTCAAGCCTTCCAAGAAATACAACAGAAATGGATCGTTTTGTTTATCTAAATTAAACCTATATAGTCTCTTTGGATAATGATCAAATTTTGTTAAACGTTTATGAAAAGAAAGACCCTGGAAACTTTATAATTATGAAGGCATATTTGCAGATCTAGAGTTTCTCTTTAACAATAAGTTCTCTGGTGCTCCAGGATCGGATGGGTAATGCCCCTATCAATTTTTTACTACCTCTTATGTACGGTAAGCATCCACCAACTTTAATAGAGAACAGCAACTACATCTAGCACTCAAATGTTATAGTGTACCTTCACAACGAGTGTATCCATCACCAACAAACTTCACACCTTTCACAACAGGGCATTCACATAGTCTTCCACGGAAAGTATCCTGAATGAAGGTAACAGAACATCATAAGCAAAATATGAAACTAACCATCTACTTGGGTGGATATTGATCTCATGGTGCCAAAATGAGTACCTTGCATGCAGTGATATTAGAAGCCTTATCCTGCCAACATCCGCCATTGTTCTCCAGACATTCATTTGTTTGTATGTCTACATAGTTAAATGATTAAGAAGAAGATACACCACTTTATCTTAAATCAAAAATCCATTTGCAGAACGACAATATCAGAAACTTGTAGATTGGCATAAAAAATAAAAAATGAAAAGAAAACATAATACCTTCACTCAAACAAACAGCTGGCTCAGTTGTTTCTTGAAACCCAGCGCATATTGCTTTAAGCACTGCAGTTTTGTCCAGCTTCCCTAATATAAGAAAGTATGGACAGAAATATTAATGAGATATCAGGAAACAACATGACGCACCACATGATTGCTTAAAAAGCTCACCTCTATATTGCCTATTATTAATAACAAGAGTTGGTAAAATAGTAACATCACCCCGGGAGTCCTTTCCAATCTAAGAATAGAGATCAGATTCAGAACAAAAATCTCGAGCATACAAAGGTCAAAATGCAATGCATAATGTAATGACACAATAAAAGCTAGTCTTAACCTGTGCATCTTGTTCTGCTTTAAGCACTGGATTCTCTTCATCTGCATCAGGATCTCCCATACATTTATTTATTTTCTTCAGATCAATGCCTGTCAAAAAAAAATCACATATAATTAAAAGAAACCAATCAACCATAATTTCCTGGTTTAATTGATCGATAATAAGTCTCATTAAATGGCAGAAACAATAAATGGTATGGTGAGCTTACCCAGTGATCTGATTACTTCTTCAGCACATTGTTTTGTGTACTTCTTTTCCTTCATGGGACAACGGATTGCAAAGTCAGTTACATAATCCCACCACAGCCATGGCTTCCCACTTTCGTTAGCAACCTGATACAAGCAGACTTGACGCAAGTTTTGGATCACAACATCTTTCCCATCATAACCTTTGCTGAAGTCCTGTTCAGGATCAGGTGCACAGTATCTTCCACGGTTGATGCACTGGGATTTGCACTGCTTGCTCAAAAGAAAGGCTTCAGGGCAATACCATGTTATGTAATGTGGGGTGAACTGGGTATAACCTTTTTTCTCCATTATCTGTGCTGCTCCTTTGAAGTTCTTAACAAACTGTACTTGGCTGTCACACTTGGGGCCACATTCATCATTGCTATTTGTCCAAAATTCATATTCCACGCGGTCATCAGGATGGGGCAAAGATTCCCTCCAATCTAAGTTGACACTAACCATGTCACCATTCTCAATTGCCTTTTTTAAGCTGTCTCCAAAGCTCTTGCTGATAAGTGCTGAAGGAATTGTGATGTCCTGAAGATAATCTGCCTTGGTGTCCTCTTCTTCAGGTGTGTCCATTGTTATTAAAGGTTCTGCCTTGTTATCAGCAACAAGGATTGCAGCAGCTCCTGCATTCTGTGCATTCCATGCTTTTGCTGTAAAGTAACAATCTGCTCACCATGATAAAGCAATTCAGCATAAGTAAGCTCAGGGCATGAGGTCATAGATCTAAAATTTCAAACGTCAATAATTGATATCAGCATAAATAAATTGTAAATTTCCAGAAGATATACCAAATCATGGGGTAGTAAATATATTTACCACAAATCAAGGGCAAACAATTTCAATAAAAAAAACAGAAATATTGTCTGGTTGAAGACTTGAAACAAAGTAGAATTGCTTGTAGAAGAACCAAAACCTATAATATTCTAACATACTGAGGCCTACACATGTAATCAACTGAAGGCCTTATTCATCAAACTGGCAAATATCATATGCTGATCTGAAATCATGAACAAAATTTGATTTAATTTTTGCTTTAGAAAAATAAAAGAAAGTTTAGCCATTATACACAATGATAACCATCAGAGTGACAACCAAACACATTGATAAGTAAAGATATAGGTTCCCCTTATTGGGTGGTGGTGAGTTGTTTTTGGGCTGGAGGGTGATGGTTCCGCAAGAACAGATGTATATAAGCTTCCCCCAGATGAGAATTGGAGGTTGTTTTTGTAACACAAGTCTCAACGAAGCAACCGTAACATTGCATCAATACCCACCAAGTAATCTGAAGAAAGTGATGTTGGTATTGCATCTTGGTTTGCCCTCAAGCTAATTAAACGAAGTATTATGATCATCTCAGTGCATAGATTCCACTCATTTGCAACCTCAGAAATGAAAATCATCTGCATGTACCGACCATGAGATCAAAGATTGTTCAAGCAGTATAACCCAAGTCCAAAGAACACATAGTGCTGCCTGTAGAAATCAGCATGACATATACTAGTAGGACAAGTGTAAACTACCACACCCTAAATTGTACTAATTCATGATTTATTAGTTATTGACATCCATGAAGTAAGCAGATCTAATAACGAAACCAATGGGTATCATCAATGAATCACTAGCAGTGATGGGGACAAGAAGAAAAGGATAAGATAACCTCCAACACGAGATAACCATCCAGCTAAAATACCGTAATCATTACTTCAAACAGTCGAACAACAAAAAATAAGCGAAGAAACAATTTAGTAACAGATCAAACACAACTTTCTTCTTAGTGTACATAAGATCAAAGCCTCACCTCCTCTGTCGACGAGAAGAAAGGTGGGGAACCCTCCAGGTTTGGACTTATAAGAGATGTCGAAATCCCGGAAGCTCTTGCAAGCCTTCTGGTTGTCCTTGGGGTACGCCACGATCCCCACCATCGTCCCGCCGTACTGAGGAACGCCAAAGTTTCCGATGGCGCACTCGTAGATGCCTTTCAGCGAGTCCGGCGAGGTCACCTTTAAGCTGTTCTTCTCAACCACGAACCGTCCCCAGCAAGAGCCCCAGAGAAGAAACAGAACCCACACCGAAATCCACAGCATCTTCGCCCCCATTCTTTCACAAATCTAACCAGCCTACCACCTAATTTATACTCGATTAACCGATCGTCACGAAAAGAACCCAAAAGCAATCGCCAGAAGAGGAATAGAAGCCTTAATCTTCTCACAAAGATCTTTAAATAGAAAAAGGGGAAGACTTAGCGATTAAGAAAACCCAACATATCAAGATTCGATCTGTTAGCACGAAAACTCGGTCACTGCAGGAATTCAAATCGAGGGAAGACAATCATCTTCTGAGCTGATGCTTCAAAAACTACGAAAAGACCAAGAAGCTCTGTGAAACCCACACAAAAGCTCTGTGAAACCCACACAATCCGCGACGGCAAAGCGATCCAAGGAAGGCCGAGACGGGATGCAACAAGGCGAGCACAGGGAATGGATCTCCCTCGGGCCGGAATAAGGGTTCGGAAGTCAGGGATTGGGGTTAAGCAAGCTGGAGAAGTCTCGAGGGAGCAGGCGAAGAGGGGCAAAGCAACGTGTTAGCCTTCGCTGCTACCTCTATCTTGAAAGGACTCGCCCACACACCGACTTAAAACTTACTAATACTGATAGAGCTTATGTGGATATATATATATATATATATATATATATTGGAAAATTAATTTCGATGATTTGCTCACTCACTAGTACTAATTGATATTTATCATTTTCTCAATTATAATATATTATCCGACGCAAAAAAAAAAGAACGATAAAATGAAGTGCATCGCGTCAAGGATTCGAAAATATGAACAATGATGCATAGGTGAATTCGCCATGAATAAAATGGGCCATGATTTGGGCAATGCATAATTTATCATGTCCACGGTCATAATCTATCGAATAATTAGGTATTCAAGCGTTATGCTTCTACAGATGCGCGCGTGAGCAGCTCGTGCAACGTTTTCCACACCCCGACAACTGCGAACGATGCTTCCAAAGGTCACACGGCTCGCACTGAATCGGGGATCGAGGCTTTTATGTCGAGCTAATTGATATCACGAAGCCGATAGTATATGACCTTTCAACGAGTATTAGGAAGACGCAAGGATCGCTTACCCACGATTATGCAAAAATAACTTAGGAGTGGGACCCACTTCGTAATGCATTAACTGAGAGAGAGAGGGGGATGGGGAGGGTACTGAGACACCCAGCCGGAGCAGAAAGCGACTCGCGCGCGTGATTCACGCGGTGCGCCTAAATCTTTTGTTTGTTTACAGAAATGTTTCGCGACCTTCAATTTTCTACCCCTTCTCTACCCGGATTAGTATTGGAGATGTTGAGGGCAAGGAAATCGTTTCCACCGATGATCAGGCAGGTATCGCGTTGAGTGAGATGAAAGGTGGAGGTTTTATGAACTCGTAGCTCTTCGTGTTGCCTGTTTGATGAAATGCGACTAATCTTGTTGGAACGGTTCGATCAAATTCTCGTGTTTCGGTTCATGATCGGATCCAAACCGCTAGAATATTCGCAAGTCCGATAACCCGAAAGCCAATAATCTTCATTTCCGACGCCGATACACGTATGAGGCACCATTAGCATGGCGACACGTGCCACTTTGGATGTGTTGGAGACACCCGATTGGCTCTCCCCACACACAGTGTCTTCATCGACGAGGCCATCGTGTTGCAACAAGCATGCGATGTTTGATGAGTGGTTTGCCTCGCGTTTAACATGCCGGCACGTAAGATTTTGTTTGGTAGTTGAACATAGAATGACAATATTACCATCATAGATATAGCTACTCTTATCTAAACAAAAAAAAAATCCCCAAATTTTGTGTCAAATCGATTTGACACAAAATTTGACGTCACTGAATTGGTAACAATGTGTCCATCAGTAGTAATAATCTTAGGAATTCAAAGCTCAACAGTGTTGATTGTTGAGGATAAACCTTACCTTGTCATTGGAGCAATGACAAATCATTGACAGATCTCATTGCTTGGCAGCAACAGGATTTTGCAAAACTACTTTGAAATCTGACCTATTTTATAACCATCGATTTCAGTGGACATAGAAATAGAAGCATACTGCAAATAATATTTAGATTAGAAGGAACCAAAAGCACTGAATCATTCTAATCATTTCTCCCAAAGATGGAGGTTTGGCTCAACAGATTCCAGGGTACTTCAATATCAAATGCTTTGATTTACAGTGCATCACAAAGTTCTAATCATACAAACAGTTTACATGGACAAAGTTTTCAGTGCTGAGAAGAGAGTGGGAAGACAACCCATCCATACAGATGTTAACAGTGAGTCATATGCTGCTATAGAAACAGATTTTTTTTTTGAAAGAAAAAAGAGTAAATATACTAACATTTTATTTTTTGTAACATTTTCTTATGGCTTGCTAATATGTTTATCATGTCAGAAACAAATGATACTTAACATCTAATTAGCTTCGGTAAATGCTTCAAACTTGAAGTTATGTTTGTTAAGTTTCAAACACAGAAGTCTCAAACTCAAGAATTTTTAGGTACTGCTATGATATTACCAACAAATACAAGTCTCAAGTGAAATGCTCAGAACCTATGATCCCCTGATTTCCATAAGTTTTCTTGTAGGAAAAAGACTACAAAATTCTGATACAGACAGCTGTTATTGCCACTCAAGAGAGACACTCTTCCATGTGACAGATAATGGAGCAGATGAGATGGAATGCCATTATAGAGGAACAAAGTTCACAAGAAAAGTAGACCTTGCAGTAAAAAATGGTTAAAATGCAGTTTGATTATATATATATAGTATAGTATATGTATCAGTGGCTGACTAGCTGTGTACATCATGAGAATCACATCTTGCAGTTTATAATATAACATAAGAGAGCTCTGTTTGAGTCAGCCTACTGGTTAGAAGTATTCTGATGGATGAAGAAAAGCTACTTTTGTTGCCTAGCAAAGCTAATTCCTCTGAGATCAAAGAGCACAGTCTGGTAGTAAAAGGCTGTATGGTTCACTCAAAGGGTAACAAAGGTTGCTTTTGTGTTGTGGAGGCCGGAAACCGGGGGGACTACTGAAAAGAAGAATTCTTAATCAATCAGTCTGTGTTTTGACAGGAGAATCACAAAAAAAGTGCAGCATCTCTTTTTCATGTGCAAGGACAACCGGAAGGATTAGGTGAACAAAAGACTAAATGGTTCATTAATAACTACAAGTGTAACAAATTTGATAGCAAACCTAAGAAAATGTTCAGTATTCAGACAGAATGTTAGATTTAAGGAGCTGATGCACTTCAGAAACTAAGAAGATTTCCTTGCAACCAAAACATTAGAGATTTTCTGCTACTTCTGTACATAAGAATCATTAGAGATGAGAGAATACTGCTTTCATGTAAAATGAGAGTATCACGAGTGATTCGTTCGCATCCTACAAGTTCCGAATGTTTGTTTGTAAAATTGACAGGATGGTGCTCTGATACAAGATGTTCGTTAAAGCTGATATGAAGTTACAGAAGAAGAACAGAATTCAATTAAACCTCCTTCATCAAAGAGATCTTTGAAAAAATCAACCAGTTTGTTAAAGCTAAATTAAAGTTATAACAATTGAAACAATGCCTCTTTGCTCTTAAAAGGAAAAAAAAGCTACAGGTTAACATTGCTTTAGTAAGAATAGACTTCAAAACTGGGAGTAATGCATATGTACTTAACAAATTTAATTGATAACAGTTAAATTTTTCAGGAACATGACAAATTTTACAGCAGAGAGAGAGATATCTATGTTAGCCTTTGCATGACCTACAGAACAAACTTCATTAGTAAAGGAACAATAAGAACTGCCTTTTTAAAAGGAAAATATAGATAAAAGACAATTGCAAACTGAAAGCTCAGATTGATAAAACATACCGAAAAACACTTTGAAATTTCCTTTACAATTGAGAAAAAGAATAAACAGTTACGAAAAGATCAGTACTGCAGATTAAAGTGTTTAACCAACACAGGAATGACATAAACATGATTTCATGCATTAGAAATATTCAGAACCATCATCAAATTTAAAGAAATAGGACCATTTCTATGACAAACGGGACCTATTGGCCTATTATTAAAACAAACAGAACAACACAAAATGCTTCATAAATTATCCATTCTATACTTACAAAAGCACATCAACCTACGAAAGCCAATCTTTGTTTACTTATAATCAGAGGAACCTCACCACAACAATGAGCTGATAACCAGCAATTCATGATTTTAATTAGTGTGAAAGAAAATGCAGCTCATGTCAACCCATATATGGTATTGTCAAAATGCAATAAATCTTAAATTAAAAGAAAACATCAAGGTCCACAGTGCACCCAAAGTGCTCAGAATGCCAATTTGATTAATACCGAAGCATGTGTATCTCCCATGCAATCCCAGCTTCACAGTCAAAACAATGAGCACACAGGAAGCTTAACGCTAGACACCAAGTCATGCAACATATCAAGCATACAAATCAAATCACGGAGGGGTATATTAACTGGTCCAGTAGATCAATGGAAATGACTGTGGTGGTGATGGTGGTGGCGATGACTGTACTCATCTAAGCCAAGGCATCGGAAGATGGGGTAGCAGGCCATCAAGATGCAACTCCCAAACCCCCTCAAAATGGAGCTCACCAGAAAGCATGGGCAGCAACAGCAGGCCAAGAAGGGATCATCATATGGACTAACACTTTCATGGTGATGGTGGTGGTGATGATGATTGCCCATTTCCCTGAACAAGTCAATCGAAATAGCTTCAGGCACAAACCTCCAACATAAAAAGTCTCCACAATTACAAAGAAAAGCAGGTAAAAGAAACAAATAATTCAAATCAATTTAGGGAAAATTCTCTTTTTGAATTGAACCTCTGTGAAAAAAAACCCTAGCCTGATATACGCAGATACCATAAATTAGATAAAGAACCTACAGTATCAGTAAGGTCAATCCAATTCACAATCATCAACACAAAGAAAGGCCACGGGCAACGATTGTGTCGATCATCCATTAATATACGAAGCAGCATATATAAATCGCTTAACAAGACCAATTAAAACCCAATTTTTAGTTGCAAAACAAAGTAGAGAAACGGTATCATGCATCAGAACCTAAGTCGAGATTTATGCCGATCGAAACAGATGCAGGGATCATGCGGAATAATCCTGTATACCTCTCAAAACCGCAGCTTTATACTCTGACCGGAAGAGACGCGGATCGGGGAAGGAAACGAAGCAACCCTGGAGCTCCCCGAAGCCCCTCCGAAGCCTTCAATTGGAAGTCAAAGAGAAAAAGAACTATAAATGGCATATTTCGTGCCAGCGACGCTGTACGCTTCTTGGTTGGGCTCTTGGCCTTGTGATCCAACGCAGCTCGCAGCTCGCGAGGAGCCCAAACCGGGCCCGTTTCTATGGAGACAGCTCGCTGTCATATCCGTTTATGTCGTCAGGTTAATACAGCTGGTCGCGAGCTAAAGAATCCCCCATGAGCCGATGAAGCCGTGGAACAGACTTGGCCTTCTCGTCTCTGGAGAAAGATGCTACAAGATCTGGCTCGCAGTCGACAGGTTGAACTCTGCTGCGAAATGAGAAATGGAGGACTGCAGCGCAGGTGCCGCACTTCAGCTTATGCACTTTCCTTCTTGATGTCATAACATCTCCAGGCAATTGGAGCAACTTCGTGCACTCGCAGCTTATGCACTTTCCTTCTTGATGTCATAACATTTCTTACGTTTTACTATTTTTCTAATTTTTTGTAATGATATTTCATTAAAATCCTGCCGTCGATCTCAAAAGGGCCATGCACAAATCTCAAAGTAGGATGAAAAGAAATGCAGAACCGGGCCCACTTCTTCGCGCGAGCACTCTGCTCAGTTGTCGACCGTCCACGTTTTAGATCCAATTCTCTCTATAAATCTCTCTTCCCCACCGCGACGGGTAACCGAACCCGTTCCTAATCCGAAGCAAATGGCGGCCCTGTGCCACTTCCCTTCCGCCCCTTCTTCCCCTCGGCTCTTCCCTCTCTCGAGATTACTTTCCCCCGTCTCCCGCGCCTCCAAACCCCAACACCTCCTCCTCGCGGCCTGTCCCATCGAGAATTCCATCCCCAACGCCTCTACCGCCGGCTCGCGTCTCCGGTGCTTTTCGTCTTCTCCCAACGCCGCCGCCTCCCCTGTCACCCTCCCGTCGGATGAGCGAGAGTCCCGCTCTCTTGGGGATATCACTCGCCCCGATTTCCCCATCCTCCGTCAGGTACGTGCTTCCTTTCGCGTTGGATGCTTTCTTTTTGTTCTTGATTACTGTAGTTACTCTACTTGTTCAGAATTTGATCTGAAGTCTTTTGAAAGTAATACGGCTTTTCTGTTTTCTGGTCCCTTACTCTTGTAGGTGGTTAATGGATTCAACTTGGTTTACTTGGACAATGCGGCGACTTCTCAGAAGCCTTCTGCTGTTCTCGACGTCTTAAACGAATACTATGAAACATATAATTCAAATGTTCACCGAGGTGTCCACTATTTGAGGTACGGTAACCATCTCCATGACAAATTGAATCAGAGATTAATAAGCCGCCCTCATTTTTGTGATGTTGGGGGAGTTATCCTTACATCTGCTTGGTATAACTTACTTGTTTCGAATACTGAGTTGCTTTATCAAAGGGATGCCCTTAGTTTTAGATAGGATGATTTTTAAATACTCAGTAGCTTTATCAAAGGGATAGCCTTAGTTTTAGATACATGTTCTGCTAGTGATTTGTAACTAACTATTTATTACAGAATTGAGATATTATCTGAGATATTTTAGTTTTGAACTTTAATGCAATTCTTGTCTTGATACATGCCAAAGATATGTAAAATGCTTGTTGAATGAAGACGACACTTACCTGTTACACTTAGTGTTTCCAAGGTTTTGAAGTTTATTTAAAATGTTTGCTTATTTCTTTGTTGTTGAAATCAGTGCAAAGGCCACAGATGCATATGAGGAAGCAAGAACAAAGGTTGCCACTTTTGTCAATGCAATGGATCGTAGAGAGATTGTATTTACCCGTAACGCTACAGAAGCTATCAATCTAGTAGCCTACTCATGGGGTTTATTAAACTTGAGGTCTGGGGATGAGGTGTGTTTTATATCACATTGCTTATAACTTTAATAAACATTTTTTAAAATCAATTGTTGGCTTTTGACTGAACTACAATGTGGTGCAGTGCCTGTTTCTATAAAGATACTTCTAGTGAGTTTTATGTTCTAAATCTCTAGACATTCATTTGTACTTTTGTGCTGTTCGAATTAAAAATTCTTGCAAGTTCATAATTATATATTGCAAGAACAGATTTAGTTTCTCTGCTCTTCTCTCAGTCTTAGTTGAATAGTTTTCTGCCTTTTTTGTCATTATTTGTGGTCATCTTTTGTACATTTCTTGTCCTATTAAACTTGATCATCCTCTCTTTTATTGCAGTTTACATTCTTTCTTGTTCTTTTTCATTTTTCTGTAGATATTACTTACAGTTGCTGAACATCATAGTGCAATTGTACCCTGGCAAATTGTTGCAAAAAAGACTGGTGCAATTCTGAAGTATGTTGGGTTGACAAAAGAAGAGGTTCCCGATCTTGACCTTTTGAAAGGACTCCTTTCAAAGAACACCAAGCTTGTAGTTACTCATCATGTCTCTAATGTACTTGGTATGTGCTACTCAGATCAGATCTTTGCTCTTTTTTAGCCATCCTTTCTCAGTTTTTTCGACTTGTGAGGTTGGGATAAATCACTTTGCTTGGTGGACGAATAAATTTTAGTAATAGGATGCAACTAGTAAATTCTGAAAATAATTTATGAATTTCCTTTCTGCTGTACCCAGTTGAAGAAAGCAGAAAATATCTTCAACTTGAGTTTTAAAGATTTTTTGGCATTAAATATTGGCTGGAGCATTAACATTATTTAGTCATTTTTTATGTTAACTTCTAATCTGAAGCTTCTAAAGACAATAAATAAATATTTTTATTTATGAAAATAGGTATAATACCAATAAAGAATAAAATGAGCAAATATATTAAAAATGATTTGGATCTGTACAGAAAAAGATGGCACCTGTGAGCTTTGTTGGTGCTCCTGAATTCATGGCATATAGTTTTACATGATAGCCCGGTTGAATAAAAAATGATATTTTAGTTTGTTTTTTGTGGTTGTGCCATTGTAAGCTATTATTGTGTTGTTCTTGTCGTGCACAGATACTGCTATTCACTTATGTTTGTCTGTACAGATTCTTCTGTTGATGTAAAATTTTCTTTTAAAGGGCAACAAAATTGAAAATGTGATATGAGAGAACAGTCAATTTCAGTGTTGAGTATTCTATTTGTTTCCAGGTTCTGTTCTGCCTATAGATGACATTGTGGTCTGGTCACATAATGTTGGGGCAAAGGTTCTTGTGGATGCTTGTCAAAGTGTTCCTCACATGATAGTGGATGTGCAGAAACTTGGTGTTGATTTCCTAGTTGCCTCATCACACAAGGTGTGTTTCTGTAATTTTCTGTTGTTTTATATATGTATATGTTGTCACCAATTCTAAAAGGACTTATTAGGAATTTAAGGATTAATCATCTCTCAGATGTGTGGGCCTACAGGCGTTGGTTTCTTATATGGAAAAATTGAGCTCTTATCCTCAATGCCTCCATTTTTAGGTAAATTTGCATAATTTATTAACAACAGTTTATAGTAATAGATCCAATCTTGTTGTTTGGACTTATTTGGTTAACATTTATAATTCATGACAGGTGGTGGTGAAATGATATCTGATGTGTTTCAAGATTATTCAACCTATGCTGAGCCACCTTCCAGGTCAGGATGATTTCCACCCTTTTATGAGGACTAATAGTGATGAGTTTGTTGATTTGACATTTTGATTTTTTATAACTTCTATCAAAAGATTGTAAAGGAGAAATATGCCAAAAATTCTGCAGAACTTAATATACTTTTTCATTTTACTCTAGTCAGCATAACATTTTTGTCATGCAAAGGTGGCCTTGTAGCACAGTTCTATATATTCTTGTTTCTGGTGTGTTAACCTCATCAAGTTCTTGGACTAAAATTTGGTTTCACACTTTCATTAACATTGCTGCTTGAAACAAAAATGTGATGGTGCTATTGGTTGACAAGTTGACAAATCATGTTCTCATATCAACCAACACATACTATGACAAAGTAACATTATCAAATGAAGATTCCATAATCATAGTCAAAATTGGGGTTAAGTACTTCAAGAGCAAAACTTCACATTTTTGGATTGTTTATATCATTCAGCTATGAGTATAGTGGAGCTGCTTTTACTTGTTTCCATAAAACATTGTGTGATATATTTCACTTGATCTTCATATGTCTTTTCATAATGGATAATCTAATTGATGTTTGCTTAGACAGATTTGAGGCTGGAACTCCTGCTATTGGAGAAGCCATTGGTTTGGGTGCTGCAATTGATTATTTGTCAAGCATTAGCATGCAAACAATCCATAATTATGAGGTGAGTAGTACTTTGATTTTTTGTGTTTTTCTTGTCGTAAAGCGATTATCATGTCGGTGTTCTATAGAAAAATTGCAGAGACCTTCCTTTTAGTTTGCTAATGCAACTGATTGGAAATTATTTATTCTCTCTTGTAGAAATTGAGATATGGGAAAAGAATGTTGTTCATTTCAACTACTTTTTATTTTCAAAAAACCTGATTGTTTATGGTTTTTCTCTCAGCTGCAATTTGTATCAAGTCCTACATGTTTATTGGATTGTTATTGTTATTTCTAAAAAGATATTTATTAACATAGTGATTAGTGTGTTGGTCAGTGCAACAATAATGCATTATTAGGTCTTTAATTCCTTATCGTCAGAGCTTGATTGAATGTATGAAACCCCAATTTGAGATGTTGTAAATGAATGTTTTAATAAGGAGATTAACAGATGATCAAATGGAAGGTTTGGTGTTTTTGACAATGTTCTTTTTAATATCTTGACCAGAGTTTTCCTATTGTATTATCAAAATTGTATGATTGGGGCTCACTTTAGTGCAAACAGAGACCAGGTTGGTGTAACTTAATTATGCTGTTCACTCATTAATATCTGTTCTGTGGAAGGAAAGTTTGCCGATATTGTATAAGTAACCCATTTTGGGAATAATGATCACTTTAACTAAGAGACTTCTGTTTTGTTGAGAGTATTCCATTCTGGTTGCAGTGTTTGTTATAAGTTGCTTCAATGTATACAATAAGATGAAGTTCTGGGGGTATCTGTTTTCCGTTAAACATAGATCTGGAGAAACTATAACCAGATTGTGAAAAGATTCCTTGAAAATAAAACTGTTTTGGAACTTCTAATCAGAAACAGCACTTAGAGCGTAATCAATAATTCCAGAGATTTCAGGTAGAGGATTGAAAAGCTTCATAAACTTGGAATGACGGTGCTGTGTAAAAAAAGAAATTTTATTCTTGAACAGTTAAATAAGATTCCCTGGGTGCATGGTTGCATGATTGACACAGTCAATGATTATGTAAGCTAGGATTCAAAGATTTCTAGAGCCTTTCTTGAAGGAAGCTAGTCTTTCTATTGTTGGACTACCATCTTGATAATCTGATTCCACTCTAAGACATTTATGTTAGTTCTTTTAGACTTATACATCCTGGAGCTCTATCTTTCACACGTCACTATAATAATTTTTAAACTGGAATTCAATGGTTATCATGTTCTAGCACTTAGTTCAGAAATGATGTCAGTGAATCTTCAATCCATTTTCTTTTGCTAATTACTTGTACTTAAATTGGTGTCACATTGACACATGCTTATCTTCTATATTTTTTAGGTGGAGCTTTCAAATTATTTGTACCATAGCCTTTGCAGTGTTCCTAACTTGCACATTTATGGGCCTGCTCCTTCAGAAACAGTTCATCGTGCTGCACTTTGTTCATTTAATGTTGAGAAAATTCATCCAACAGATATTGCAACATTTCTTGATGAACAAGTAAGTAAATTCTGTAAACGTAATCAGTGTGTCCCTTTGTATCTTTTTCCCTTACAGTTGGATGTTGTCTTATGGAACAATGTGTTCATGTTCCTAACATATATGATATGGTTTTCCTATTGTTTTTTCTTTTTTGACTAATCTAAGCTATATTTGTGGCCGATTAAGCTGAAAAATATATGGCTATTTCCTTATGGGCCAGTTACAATCGCTAATCTTAATTTGTAGTTGATTTTGAAATCGGTTTTTGACTTCATATAGTGAATTTTATTAATTTTGGTTTAGGGGTTATCCACACTTATTAACATTGTTTCGGGGTATGCCTGGTATGGATATCTATAGCTCTGTTGATGCCTTTTCATTTGCATCTAGTGATTGTCAATTATACTTTAGTGTGCTTGTATAGATACAATGTTAATGTCTCCTATTGTTTTGCTAATGAGTCTGTAGAATTTTCGGAGTAAAAATTTGACTTTGTTTGTGATGTGGGAAGATTAAGCAATGGTGTAAAGAATGTCCAAATAGTTGTATCTAATATATGCAACTAAAAGAATGCAATGGAGTTAAGGGATCCATGTTGGCAACCCTAATGTGTTGGGGAAGTACATTATTTTCATCATTGTATCATTACTAACTCATTGGTCTGATCTCAAAATTGGCTTAGTACTGAGCCCTGAGAATAGCTTATGGACTTCACCAAAGTTATTGCAAACTTGAACACAGAATATATTAACAGATCTTAATGATATGCTTGACTCTTCATGAAGCACTGTGTTTATGCTGTAAGATGAGAACAAAGGTACAAGAACCAGACTAAAATTCAAATTTATACTGTGCCATGCTTATAGTCCCATTCAAGTCTCTCTCTCAAAGCTGAAGGTTTGGCTGTGAGAATTTACTCACATTTCATGCTAGAATCCACCAATGGATTCTTGAAGAAAGATTTATTATCTTTTTCTCTGTACAGTAAACTTATTGTTGAAGATGTAAGTAATAGATTAAATTATTTTCAATATCAATTTGATTATATTTAGTTGCTTACTGAGCCTCGTATTGTCAACACAAACAAAGTGGAATAGTTTTAGACTACTCATTGCCAGCAAGTTTACAAAACATTATTTCCTTATATATCCATGTCCTCTCATAGGCCTGTTTTTTTTCTTTTAGCATGGGGTGGCTATTCGATCTGGACATCATTGTGCTCAACCTCTGCACCGTGCCTTAGGTGTCACTTCAAGTGCTCGCGCTAGTCTTTACTTCTATAACACTAAAGAAGAAGTGGATGCCTTCACTCAAGCACTTAAAGATACTATCGATTTCTTTACCTCCGCCCTGTAAGTCAGCAGCATTTTGTTATGGTGTACCTTTGGGACGCATGAGTTACTATTTACTTGTAAATGCTAGTTGTAGCTGAATGTATACTGAGTCTTTGTAGAAAAGGGGACATATAACTATTTTGTTGCACATTTATGTCGATGTTGTCTACCCAAAATCATAATCCCTTTTTATTAATTCCCATTGCCTTAGAAAATTGTGGCCCAATTATTTCTCAAGTGTTTGTTTTCTTATATTTTCTTGGTTGTAAGGGTGTTTATCAGAATACATAATCATGGATAAGAGAGCAAAATGTCTTTGTAGCTGCAGATAAGGAATTTTTTCTTGTCTTGGTACTATATTAGACCTTGGACAGACTTGTACATACCATGTACCAAGGATTAAAATCTTGGCCCAGTACCAATATTTATCTATGGTTGGACCATCACTGTACTGGTATAAAACCATACTGTGTCTTGATACAATTTGGTACCAATTTGTATTGGCTGGATTCACAATCATCGCTTCAAGGCCTATTAATATTAATCAAATCTAGCTTTTTGTTCAATAATTAATCAAAATATGTTTTCAAGAACTATTGTCAGTCATAGGTTAAGGAAACATACATAAATAACTTCTAAATTCTTGAAGGCCTAATAAAAAGAATGTATCACAAAATTACAAATGTATAATTGAAAAACTAGTAGATAAATAGACAATGTCAGTTGACCCACGAGATGTCATCGAGGAAGCAATAATTTGAGGACAGTGAGTTTTCTCTATTTGATTCCATTCTCCATGAGGTTTGCAATGACAATGATGAGGTGGATAGTATATCTACCAATTATGGTGGCCATGTACAGGAGTCTTTCATTTGCAATACATAGAGATGTAGGATATAAAGAGCAATACTTAGCTCATATTATTTTGATTCATTGCTGAATAATTTACCATATTAGTTTACAGCTAAGAAGACAAGAAAAATAAAGAAAGTTGATGACTTCAAGGATATGAAAGTTTCAAATGGTTAAAACCTCCCTACCAGCACAAAAATTCATTAGCCACCAGCTTTATATGGCTTACAGCAACTAGATATTGATGGCAGATCTATTGCTTAAGAGCCATTATAGATGCTAGACTCTACATTAATTCCGTATCATCAGTTGCAGCAGCCATACTTGTCACTATTGCCAATATAGTGGTTACTACTACAATTACACTTAGTGATTGTGATGCCATGACTGATGCTAATATGATCCAACAATATCACACAGTATATCGATATGAAATTTTATATGATTGGTACCACCATGTGTAGGTTATTTAGAATTACAATATTAATCTCTAGAGGACTTATTCTAGGCCTTCACTCATTTACCTCTCTAGCACAGCGATCCTTTTGATGGTAGTAGCCCCTAGTAAGGTATGACTTGCATATTTTGAAGTTAATGTATTTATAAGTTCTCGGTTACATATTTATAACACCTATCATGTACCATCAATTATTTTAGAAACTGTTAACTCATTTTCTTGACGTTTTTTACAATAGATCATAAATACTTTATTCAAGGAAAAAAATCTACAAAACTGGGTTAGTAGGTGTAGGGGCCTATTGTGCCTGTAATTTGTAGGCTGGTATACTGTATCGAAACATGACATAGTACTAATGTCATATTGGTCTGATTGATGATCATATTGGTACTAGATCGAGGTATTAATGTTTAGTCTAAATGATAGAGTACTGGTTTAGTTAGCCAGAGCCCTAGTACTTGAGATGTAACCATTTGTTGATGATTGTTTCCTATAAAATAAGGGTGGAGGATCGCCATAGTGAAGGAAATCTGACCAAAGGAAGGGGTCAGTCAGTTTTGGTTTAGGGTCAACCTAGTGCATAAGCTCTTAGGACCACTGTATGATAATTTTGAGACAACAGGCTTTATTAACATGCCTTTACATCTGAAAAATGATTATGCTTGTTATAAAGTTTTCCCTTCATTAAAATGTTTCTCCGTTTGTTTGTGCTCTTTTCTTCCAAGTTTATTTCTGCTGTTCTAAGACTACAGCCTTTTACAGATAACAGCAAGCATCATCTCCTAATTCACCAAATATGGAAAATCCTCATATGGAGATGTTTTTCTTCGTAAGCCAAGAAACAGGGGACATGACGAGAAGCACCTGCTCCTTCCAAGGTATTATCATGTCAAATTGCATGTGTATCATCAGTATATTATTATTGGACTTGGTATTATCGGTCATCACCATCTAGTTTCAAAAGATAAGAAATTTTATCACTGGCAATAATGCATCCCATTCCATATTGTTTCATGGTTCTAGTTCATTATTAGTGTTATCTGGGATGTGCGCCTTTTATGTATGGCCATCTCAAATGGGACACTCCTTGTCTAAAAGAGAGTACCATGACTCTTTAAGGGGGATTTGTAGGGACAGTCGTTTATAAGCTTGGGCATTCTGATCCTTGGAATTAGACAGGTCATGTGCTTGCATAAGTTTAAGCTCTTTTGAATTTTTAAGATTAACCAGATAAAGTCATGAGCTGACCTACATCATATGTTTTGCTCGATCTTATCTCTAGCTTTCACATCATGGAGGAAAAGTAGGCTTTGAAATTTCCTACCTCGGAAGTTGATGTTTAAAGGTCATACTTTTTGCCTTGGAAACAATTAGCATTTGTGGGAGAAATTTTTGAAAGAGAAGGCTCAATGTGTCACATCTTAATATTTTTGTCCTTCGACAGACACATTGGAATTTTAACCTAGAAGAAAATGCACATGGTGAGCTATTCTCGAATACTTAGATGTAGAAAGATAAGAATCTTCGAGTGTAGAAAGATTAAATTGTTATCAATGGTCGACAAACACAGAATGAAAATTCCCTTTGTGTTGTCAGAAGAGCTGACACTAAATTCTTGTCATGTATTGTATATCCGGCACGGAAAGACTGGCCTTCCGAGGGATTCCATCGGTGGAACTAGGAAAACAGGAGGTCCGTACTCGGCCGTTCTCTTTTGCGATTTCACAAGGAATATACATTTTGATTTGATGTAGGAGGTCCTCTTTTACTTTCTTTATCATTGGTACCTTTGTGTGGTGGTTGCTGCTGCTGCTGCTGCTCCTGCTACTGCAAGGTCCCTATCCTCTCACAAAAGGGCGATGATGCGTGTTTGGACCTACCCACATGTTGCCGCGAGGAACACTGGCCCTTCTCCAGCAGAGAGTGCCTGTTGTTGAGTTTTGTCTACGTCTTTTAACCCTTAGCGGTGCTCAACTTCTCATTCGTTGTAAAAGATGATCTGCTCCGGTTCTTTGTGTGCTACCTACCATTCTAGCGTACAAAGAACGGGCCTGTTGCGAGCTGGTGTGTAGTGCGGCCATTGGCTTAGGAATCGTCATATGTTGTGACATTTTGAGAGTCACTGTCCATATGCTTTGCAGAAGACATCGTTAGAAACGTGGTTGAACGGAATTCTCTTCCCTCCCACAACCATGTCATGATTGCCTCCTCTTTTTCAAGGACACATCGTCTTCCATTTACTAAAGAGAAAGGATGTCGTCTTCTTCCCCCTTTGGACTCGCACAAGATCAACGAAGTCTGTTCAAACCAGCTGGTATTAGTACAGTATGATCAGCCGCAACGGATTAATCGCTGGAAATAGGAGAGTGTTGTTGTTGTTTTGGAAGCTACATAGGATAGGCGTTACCCACTGCTAGAATAGCGGAGGAATGTTTAGGCAGTGGTCTTGCTATTACTGGCTGTAGCTTGTCTACTGCAAAAAGTACAGGACGTATAGTTTACTGCGGATACGAGGACGCTCGGACATGAGCCAAGAACAAATCCGTACTTAACAAAGGTAATGCTCCAGACTATTCAACCCGTTTAATGTTCATCGATCAATGTAGTATAAATAGTAACTGAAAAAGTCAATTTAAGACAACTAAAACAATATATTCACGGGTGTCCCCATCCCCGTGTGGTCCGCCTACCGACCTTCGAAAAGAGCACAATATTTAGTCGAAGCCGGCCCCACGTGGATCGAACTCATATCAACTGTTTCAACACAAAAGGTGGCCATCGACAATTGTTTATAATATCTCACGGATGATCCATTCATTATTGCCTGACACGACATCTTCATTGGCTCACAGAAAGAAGGAAAAAGAAAAAGGCTGCACGTCAAAGCGTGAACGCCAAGAAAAGGCGTCCGCCGCCGTCTCACGCTCTCCTCCACACGACCTCACTCACTGTTGTTGTTGTTGTCGTTGGCAAATATGCCAAAACCAAAACTACCTCCATATTAATTAGCAAGAGCGATAAATACTAATAATTTTAGAATAATTCCCTAACCCACTCAGTAAAATAAAACTGGCCGCCACGCTCCTCGCCACCGCAAGCGCAGTTAGTTTTCCGCTACTGGAAGTCGTCGATGTCCAAATCGCCGAACTCCATCTCCAACAACCGCTGCCTCGGCCAGTAGAACTCCGCCAGAGGTAGCGGCGACGCTTCCACACCGAGCCCGAAGGCGTCGACGCCGAACGGCACCGGGTCGTCGCAGTAGCCCAGCACCGACGTCGGAGAAGAGCGTGACCCGGCGATTCCTCCCGCCTCGATCGGCGCCCCGTCGTCGTCCTCCTTCCCCACCGCGAAAACGTCGTCGCAGCAGAGCACCGACGTCGGAGAGGAGCGCGACCCATCGGCGCCGCCCGCCTCGACCGGCGCGATGTCGCCGTCTTTCGCCGGGGTCGGAAAGTTGGTCACCGCCTTCGGCCCCCTCAGCCGCAAGGCCGCCATGTCGTACACCGTCGCCGCCTCCTCGGCGGTGTCGAAGGTTCCCAGCCAAACCCGCTTCCGCTGATGCGGGTCGCGGATCTCCGCCGCCCATCGACCCCACGGCCGCCGCCTCACCCCCCGGAACCTCCGCTTCCCGCGTTCGCCTCCCCCCACAACCGCCTCCTCCTTCTTAGGCGCCGCCAACGCCATCCGCCGCGGAGCCGCGGCCACCTCAATCCCGATCTCTTGCACGTGCCGCTTCACCCGCCTCCGGACGCCGCGGCCCTCCTCGTTGGACGACGAATCAGTGGCATCGACATCGTCAAAATAAACCCGGACGACCCTCTTCCGCCAACCCGATCCCCCGGCGACGGCTCTCCTCGCCGGGACCGTCTTCCTAATCGCCACTACGTGCTCGGAAAACTTCACCTGGATCCCGCGAGCGACGTCCGCCGGATCCATCTTCGCTCAAGCCGCGCTCTCTACCAGCCGCGAACCATTCGAAGAAGACAAGAATAAAGCCACAGATTCCAGGGTCCGGATTCCACCAAAAAGAGGTACTCTGTTCCCTGCACTCTGCTCCTCTCGCCACCTCTAAACCATGAATAGATAGAGGCAAATCGGATCAAAGTGGCAGGGTTTTGGCGAGGATTTGGCTCGGTCCATAGACGAGGATGAGGGCGAGCAGACGAAGGGTTAAGGGAAGGGGCTTAAAATAAGTCTGAACCACAGCTTTCACATCACCATCTCCCGTCACTACCATTACGAAATTACTTTACTACCCTTATCCGACCACAGCTGGCTCCCGATTGGGCCGGTTTGGGGACGTCAGCGCGCCACACTTCAGATCTCGAGACTGCCACGGCCACCGCATTCCGGACACGTGCCATTTGCCCAAAAGACGCGTGCCCAGTGCTCGGGCCCACCGGAGGCGACGAGTCAAAATTGATCTGGGCGGGCGGAACCCCGGAAACCAAATGGGAACACGTCAGCGCTGCCACCGCCTTCTGTGGGTCCACTTCATCCGACGGCGAGCTGCCCGTCGTGCGAAAACCATAGCACCCGAGCCGTGATCACCGGCGAAGGAGAAGACGACGAAGGATTACGATCGCACGGAGACGTCGCATTGGACTGCTAAATCCGACCCATACGTCTGCAAAGTCCGCACAAACACCGGTACGCTATGAGACTTCCCCTTTCAAACTGTGTATAATGGGGCAAGCAATAATAAAAATGCCTTGGCATTTAATCTGATTTATGATTCATGCGGGGCTTAGGGCACTATGAGCAGTATGAAATAATTAGGTTCATCTTTGGCAGGCAAGAGCAAGTTGGTTTGAAGTATGGAGACCTGTTTGACACCGATAGGGACGGCCGATACTATGATATGATCTTACGTAATCGGCATCTTGACGTTATATGTTTGATATCTTGAAGCTATGTATTCCACGCCATCAACATCCTAAAGATTTTAATATCATGAGATTGACGAGGTATTGTCCCCGAAATTTATTAATCACGTTACAGTTATAGTTATAGTACATTCTTCAGGTTCGAAGCAACCTGATTCTACCAGACATGCATAATTGTCACCTACATCATCGAGTTCATCTAAAAGAATTTACACCTTCGGGTATAGAAATATGAGCATCCAATCAATATCTAGCTCCCTTAACTAACTTGAGTAAAGGAGGAACTTTGACGAGCATACTCTCGTTGAACTTTACAGGGTTCAACACCTCAAGAGATTTAATATTTTTCGATACTAATTAGGGATAGACATAGAATAGAGTTGTTACAGTTGATTTCAAATTAGCATCCCAATCGGACAATAAGATTGTGTCTATATATATATATATATATATATATATATATATATATATATATATATATATATATATATATATATATATATATATATATATATATGTCACAGTCCTGAAAAACATATAAGGAGGGAGGGAAAACACCCAAATTCTTGAAAAAAACTTAATATTTTTTGAAAATTTTCACAAGCATTTGTATTGTAAAATTTTTTGAAATGACATCCCTAGCCATATAAAAAGATCATTTTACCTTTTCTTTTGTCATACCCATCATCACCCCTAGCCCTTGTGTGAGGGTTGGCCACCCTTTTCCACCATACGCAAGGTTGCCCCCCTTCACTTGTAGCTCTCGTGCAAGGGTTAACCACCTCCCTCTATCGTGCACGAGGTCATTTCCTTTCGTATATAGTCTTACTTGAGGGCTAGTCGCTTCCCTCTGCCTATAGCCTTACATAAGGACTGATCGCATTCCTCCGCCTACAGCCCTAGTATGAGAGTTAGCCACCTCCCTCTATCGCACATGGGGTCACCCCCAGGGTTGCCCCCTATCGGCTTTGAGCAAGCACCATTGTTACAGACTATTGGGTTTTGGTGAGGGTGATGATAGAGGCTATAACTATTGTTTAAACAAAAATTAAATAGAGATGTTTTACAAAAAAAATTGAAAAGCAAGAGTTTTTTTTTTTTCTGCGTAACTTCAAGAAGGGGAAGAAGATACTATAAAAAACGATTAGTACTTTAAATCTGTAGTGCTTTGGATTCATCTAAAAGCATATATTTATATTAGCTAATAGATAAGATACAAGCTTTTTTAAACAATAAAGAAATCCATCATATCCCAATAAATCTTCTCACTCTCATCTATTATCTTAATTTAAATTTAAATTTTTTATTTCATCTAATTTTAACTATTTGAATTAATCTTATCACACCCTCTTAATTTAAAATAATTATAACTTGAAGTTATTATTGGAAAAAATAAAAAAAAAATTGTTAAAGCTTTTATAAAGATATCGACAAGCTAATATTTGGTGCTGTAGTAGTTTATTTGAATTTCTCCTTTATCAGCCAATTCATAAATATAATGATGTCGAACTTGATGTATTTGATATGCCCGTGGAAGATTGGATTCTTTGTCATTGTAATAATAGACTTGTCATCGTAGTAGATTTTAGTTAGTTCATCTTATTTTTCTTGGAGATTTATTTAAATTCTTCGAAGCCAAATTACTTGATATGCTATATTTATAGCCACAACATACTCCTGATCAAAGGTTGAGCACAAATCCTAAAGTTCTTTTTTAATCATATGCACAACTAGCCCAATCACTATAAGTATAAGAATACAATTTAAAATTTTATACTTATACTTAGGCAACCAAACGAGCTTTATGCTTTTACAGTGAGCTATTAGCATTAAATTTTGATTTATACACCCATTTGAGTCCAATATTGAGGGCAAATATACTGACTTTCAAATCTTTTTATTTTTAATAGCTTACAGTTTGTCATTCATTACTTGCACACGTTCACTGTAACTTCAAACTAAGTAGGTTCCAAAATAAAATATGCAAAATCACCCGACTAATATATCTATGAAAGAGTATGAAATTTCCTTATATGTATTTCGGTATCACTATAATCAATTGAATTAGAATCATCCAAAATATAGAAAGATTCGAGTGAGGTATTATGTGTATTATCGACTTCTATAACTATTGGAGATTCAACTAGTTTAGAGTTTCAAGTTTCTTCTTTGTTAAAAATAGTATCACGACTAATTCCTTAGTTATATGATTATAAAGTTTAAAACCTTTTGTCTCGTTACTATATCCATAAATATATATTTAATAATTATATTATCTAGTTAATAATTACATTATCTAGTTAATAAATATAATTATATAATTATATTTAAAAATTTTATAGGAACATAAAAGTAAACAACACAACCAAATATCTTTAAATGACTTACATTTGACTTTCTATTTAACCATGCTTATAGGGTGTTTTTCCTTGTACTGCCTTAGTAAAAAAATGATTTAACAAATATACTATTTTTACTCATAAATTCTATCCAAAACTCTTTTGGTACTATTTTTTCTTTAAGCATATATCTAGCATTCTCAACCACTGCTCAGTTCTTCTACTCTGCTAGTTTGTTGGGAGGTGTTTCCTATGAATGCTTATATTTTTATAAAAAATAAAAAAAATCTTTTAAAGTGAATTCACCTCCTCTATTAGCACATAGAGTCTTAATAAAACAATCATTTTATTTTTCTACATATGCTTTAAAAATTTTAAAGAAAGAGAAGGCTTTAGCTTTTTCTTTCAAAAAATATTATCCATATCATCCTTGTGCAATTATTTATAAATAATAAAAAATATTTATTTTTATCATGTGAGACAACCTACATAGGCCCACAAATATTTGCATACACAAGTTCTAAGCTTTTTTTTTTAGCTCTTTGACCTGTCTGAAAAGAATTTCTGTGTTGTTTTTCAAAAATATAATATTTATAAATAGTATCTTTATTTTTAATCTTAAGCAAACCAACTATCATATTTTTTTTGGTTTAATAATTTTAATTTGTCATAATTCAATTGACAATATATTTTATATCATAACGTCGATTCATTAATAATATTAACAATTAATACATATAAGAAAATTTTAAAAATAAAAAAATATTTTATTTTTTGCCATACTTACCATTGCTATCAATTTTTTAAATTTCTTATCATAAAATAAATATTTTTCATCATTAAAAATCACATAATATCATTTTCTTATCAATTATCTTATATTAATGAGATTTTATTTTAAATCAAAAATAAATATCATATCATCAATAAATTTTTTACTAGATTTGGTGCTCACTGTAATTATTCCTTTTCCTTCTATATGAACTTTACTATAATTTTCCATCGGCACTGTATTTAAATCATCAAGTATTTAAGTAAACTTTTATCTCTTGTCATATGATTATTACATTTGGTATCCAAAAATCAAATAGATCTAAAATATTATTCATACTAAAAGAAAAATATTTTCTTCATTATTTTTTTACTAATATATTTTCATGATAATTTGTTTGATTTTTGTTTTAATAATCTTTTTCAAGATGGTAATATTTTTTACGATGAGAGTAGAGAGGAATATTTGGATTTTTATTTTTATACTAGTATTTTTTAATATATCCATTTTATAATAAAAATATTACTAAATTTTTTTGTTATTTTCATTAGAGTTCCTCTAATCTTTATCCCCTATCTAGAGCGCTAGATTGTCCTTGGCTTCTGCCATTTTGATCTCTTCCTTAAGATCAGATTTGTGAATTTTTTTTTTGTCATTCTTCTCATATATTTTTATTTGAAGAGCATATTCTGAATTTTCTTCTGAAGATTTATTTACTTTTTATTCATAAATTAAAAATAAGCCTATTAATTTATCAACAAATAATACACTTATATCTTTAGCTTCTTTTATAACAGTAGAAATCATATCAAATTTTGGATATAAACTTTATAAAAATAAAATTTACTATAATTTGATCTTTTAAGTTTTCACCATAGGATCTCATGTGATTTATAATAGACTAATTTTTTGAGAAAAAACCAATGATAGATTCAGAATTTTATAATAAGTTTCGAAGTTGTCTATGCCTCTAAACATACTTTTTTAATTTTTTTTTTCTTCTATTGATGTTGATGTTGATGTCGATGTCGATGTCGATGTGATTAAGGTAAATAAAGACTTATCTATTACTTATTTGAGCATGTAGAGAGGACCCTTACAATTTTATATATATTCTTATTCATTTGATCTTTTTGATATTTAGTAATATTAGGATCCTATAGATCATATTCAACAAAATAATTTTCTATCAAATTTTATAATCCTTATAAAATAAATAGAATTCTTATTCTAACAATACGAAATTGATAATTTTCACATTTGAAACAATTACTCCAATGTGTATCTTTTTTTTTTTGATTTAGTAGTCTTTCCTTCTTTTTAATATTTGGCTTTATGCAAAAATTTAGTGAGAAGGAGAAGAAGATAGTAGAAGGAAGAGTACTTATTTATATTAGTCAAAAAGATAAAATCTAAATTTTTGTAAACAATAAAGAAATCCATCATATCACCATAAATCTTCTCAACCTTATCTACTTAGCTTAATCCAAAATTCTTATGTTTTGTTTCATCTAATTTTAACTATTTAAATTAATCTTATCATTTTTTAGAAATTCACCCAACGATCAAATATAGGTTGGAGGTGTGAAATAATTGTTAGGTTGGATCTCTTGATGCGACCACATCTAAGCTTTCGAGTAGGGATGGATGCCATGCCATGCCTTTGTGTTGAAGGATTGGAATCCTAGGAGAAGTCTTGATAAAGATCTTTCACGTCCTCATGAGTGGGAGGCGACATTGTTGTCACCGTGGAGCATCATCCATGTGCTTCGAGTCCTTACGGTCTGTTGGCTTCTTCACTTTGGGTGATGGAAATTAATAAGAAGCTCCACAAAAAATGGACAGTGTGTCGGGGAACGATATTGAAGAGAACAAAGAAGGCCTTAGTATCATTATGATCCCCATTAATGTTTTCTGCGGCAACTGCCATTGGATCTTTACGAGACTTGCATGTTCTTAGGATGAAGTGTTGTTAGTACCACCAGTCGGCATCCTGTAAATGTCAGACGCAGGGAAGAACAACACCTTGAAATTTCCTGGTGGTCGTTTTCGTCCTCGTTGTCTGCATGTGTGTGTCGATGAATTGGTATTACATATGCTGCTTGCTTTCATGGCGATGGCCAAAGTTGGGCAGCAAAATGTTCTTCTTTCTGAAACAGAGACCAAATTCTGGTCCCCTTTTTCGATTAAATCGGTGCATGCAACACGAAATTTTCAGGAGATGCCCGTCTTTAATCTGTTCATCAAATGCCTCAAACGTGAGCAAGTTTTCTTTTTTTTCTTCTTCAAAAATAAAACTTCAATTTTACAGGAAAATAAACATAATCATTCGCGTCCGATCGAACTAGTTTTGATTGATATCTAATATAGTTAGTCGAATTCAGGTTCGTTCTTTATTAGGTTTAGGAAGAGTCTGAGCAAAACATTCAGTCACAAGAGTCAGATAAAAATACTGTCATCAGGATGACATGCAGCTATACTAAATCTTGATTACCAGAACAAGTGACTGACATATTAATAGTGAACATGTAACAACAGCATCTGTAGAGTCCAGAATGGCAATTCACATCAAATTGGATGGGCTTCTTAGAGAACTGATCCCTACCAGATAGCTACGATATGGCCCTAAACATCCATTTCAAACAAAGCAACGACAAGAATATGTCTGTCAGTGCATATCCGAATGCCACTGTAGTATAGAAAACATCATATGGTATGGAGTAGTATAACTCAGATGGGTGATGAGGAAATGAGCAATAGAATGGTTAAATATCTACCACACTGTGTACAACTTAATTGTGAAACACAACCAGAGATCAACCAAATTTTACGCATACATGATGATGTTTTAGTAGCCTTCAGTGCAAATTTCACCTTGCATCAAATCTAACAAATAACCTGCAGAATTAAATCTCTTTGACAAACCTAACGAGCTACATTGTGCTTTCTGTGTCTGCTGCTTGTGGCGTTTCGACTTTCTCATCTTTCGACTTCTCTGAGGATGGCCTGTTCTCCGAGTCAGAGTGTCGTATGTCCTCGATCATTCTAATCAACTCCTCCATTTTGGGCCGCTGGTCCGGAGACTTTGCTACGCATGCCATCGCAATCTGAAGCATCTGAACCATCTCTTCCTCGATGTGCTGATGCCGCATCAACTCCACATCAAAAACTTCGGCAGTCCACTCCTCTCGAACCACGGATTGGACCCATCTTGGTAGATCCACAACATCATCACGTCCTGGAGATTGAAGTGGAGCCTTTCCCGTGAGCATCTCGAGTAGCAAGACACCAAAGCTGTAGACATCAGACTTCTGAGTATATTTTCTGGTCTCAATGACTTCAGGTGCGCGGTAGCCCACAACAATTCTGGATGAGGTTGTTGCAGAGCTCATGAATGGAGCGAGGCCGTAATCAGCGACACAAGCATCGAGTTCCTGGGTCAAGAGCACATTATTGGATTTGATGTCGCCATGGATGAACTTTCCACCACCTTCAGCATGAATGTGAGCTACGCCACGTGCTGCTCCAAGAGAAATCTTCACCCTAGACTCCCAATCCAATGGAGTCTTTCCAGCACCCTTACTCCCTGCAAATTGATGAGCACAATATACAGAAAACAAAATACAGGTCCTAATTAAACAGACTTCTCTTGCATTAAGAATGCTGGACATAATTTTTTATGCCATGAATTCAATTGCAATAGCATTAAAGCAGTCTTATTGCTCTTGTTCATCTAATATAGGATTATGCATAATATTGTTTACAAAGATAATGTCAACACATCTGGAATTCAGTAGAGGTGACTTCGAAGTATTAACTATACTAGGAGACAGTTATATTTACATTAATAACTCTTGAAATCAGTGCCTTCAGCAATTTAATTGAAAAACAACATGCAATTAACAAAGAAGTAAGAGACATGGAGGTCTTCGAGAAACATACCATGCAAGAGGGAGGAGAAGTTGCCAGACGTGACATAATCATATATCAGAAGTTTCTCATCCTTGGAGTAGTAATAAGCTCGAAGTGGCACCACATTTGGGTGAGGTCTGATCCTTCCTATCATTTCCATCTGTTGTTCAAACTCTTTCTTTCCAATGATTACTTCCTTCAGCCTCTTGACTACAACTGTGGTACCATCTTCTAGAACAGCTTTGTACGTAGTACCATGATTTCCCTTTCCAAGAACTTCGGCAGAAGCTCTTAATAGATCCTCCAAGTCAAAATTATAAGAACATCCTTCAAAAAATACCAACTTATTCTTCTCTGCTTCTTGAATACTACTGCTGTACTCCTCCTTAGGTTTCTCACGCCTAGCACCAAGAGCATCCTTTCCTTTTAGTTCTCCACTACCTTCCCCACGCTTTCTCTTGTAAAAGCATACCAAAATTACAATAATGAGTAGAAGCAGAAGTGCTGAACCACCGGCAGCAATTGCAATAATGACCCCAGTGCTTAATTTTTTCCAAAAGCTTCGCTTGGGTTTTGTGGGGTGTTCTGATGGAGAGGGTGGAGAAGAGGGAGGAATTTCAAAGCATTGTGCCAGAGGAGTTCCACATAGGAAAGGGTTACCCAAGAAAGATTCGACTGCGAACTTTTGGAGGGATAGTGGTATAGGGCCACTGAGGTTGTTATAACTCAGATTCAGACGCCTAAGCTTGGGAAGTTGAAAGTCAGGGATGGGTCCAGAGAGTGAGTTGTTCTCAAGAAACAAAGCATTGAGTCGAGTAAGGTTTCTGATTGTCAGAGGAAGTTCTCCTGTAAAGGAATTATAGGACAGGTCAAGGAAGGTAAGGTTGGAAGAGAGTGTAGAAGGTATAATCCCAGATAAATTGTTATGTTGAAGGTACAAAGAATGCAAAGCAGGAATGGATGCGACATCTGAAGGAAGACCTACGATAAGTCGGTTGGATCTTAGACTTAAGACTTCGAGGGCATTAAGTTTCCCAAGTGTATCAGCAGGGATCAAGCCAAAGAGCCCAACAGCTGGAAGCCGGAGAGTGCGCACACGGGTTTTATCAGGTGTACAGGTGACTCCAACCCAAGAGGAGCATATTGGGCTCTGAGAAGTCCAGTTGAGTTTCCGGCCATGTGGGACAGACATAGCAAAGGCAAGGAGTGCTTGCTCATCAGAACTCAAGTCAGCAGTGGCAAATGATGAGAGGTCCAGAAGAAGGAAAATCAAAGGAAATAATATGAAAACCACGGAGCGATCCATGGGAAACTTTAGATCAAGTAAAGTAACATAATGAACAGTTTCAAGAGTCCAATTTAAGTGGTTCTGCTGCCCTGCTGCATTGAGAAAAAAAAAGAGTAAGAACATGCCCTCGGCCTGAGTAACATATAAGCAAAAGATGCTTAGAAATTGCTTTCTTCAACCGATAATATCTGAAGGGGAAAGAGGTAAGAAAAGAATGATAGAATTCATCAAATCTAAAATGCAAATAATCCCTTCTTTAACTTCACTTGGGATGTAAAAACCATGGTATAATTAACAAGTGAATCAGTAAGCATTTAGAATCTTTGTGGTCTCGTGAAATCCTGCATAAACCAAATTGCATCTATTTCTGGTTAGCATTGAATGCCACTCTGCAAAGAATTTAATGCTGACACCCACTAATGTTTCTAGTAACTGCTAGGAAGGGACCACTTCCAGCATCATCCCTCTCTCAATTATGCTTGGTACTAATTTGTATTTCTTTTTTCTTATCCTTATACAAAATTTTCATGCTCGCAATAACTGCTAAGGTGTTGCAATCATCTTCAAAAAATAAGAACATGAGACTGCCACATGGAAAACACCATCATTTCAAAATAGGAAGAAGGAAAAACATCTTTTCTTTTTTGTTTAGAAGATAGACTTAGAGAGTGACAAAAATGAGAGGAAGCAAAGCTCCTAGAAGAAACCTACCTACAGGTTAAGCAGCCATCATCAGATTCAAGCATACCGAAGTGGAATGGTACAGCAAGAATTGCTCACCAAAAGAAACGATCTGTACAATTTTCAGGACATCATCAAAGCAGAAGCAGTGGCAGATTCATCTTTCTGTCTTCTCCCTTTTTATCCATTGACCAACCAAGGAGAAAAACTTGGCGAATTGGAACAGGAAGCTACTGAGTTATTTAAAGGTTGGCATAACATTGGCCAGCCTGGCGCATACAAGACCGATCCATAGAAGGACATACACAAATTACTCCAATGTGGCAGGCATATCAGAAGTATCTACTCAATTAAAACACATACACCAATTAAACATGAAAACTACAAAAGTCTCATTTTCAAGCTCACCTGAGTCAAAGAGGAGACCCTTCTCTCATTGTTTCGATCTATTTCTCCAAGGATTCACCAGTGCAACAGTTGAAACCTTCAAGAATTTCCTTGTTAAAAGAAAAAAAGGAAAAAAAAAGAAGAAGATAGATACCACGAAAATAATCTTCCTCCATTAATAACAAGGAAGAGACGTAAGATTCTAGGGAAACAATTGTGAAAGCCAAACACTAAACTGGAAATTACCTGGGATATTACGAGAACTCGCAGCTCCGTATTGTAACCAGGTCATCAATTTTCTCCACTAAGATTTGAATTCGGCTTCAGATCTACAAAACCTCCAGAAGAGCTAGAACAGTCGCCGTAGAACCCACGGCGTTCGACTCAAAATATATTCTTGAAACTCGTTGGAACCAAAGTCGGAGGAAGGGATGAGGAAATCAAGAGAATGCTCATGGAAACCAACGACATTGCTTCAAGATCACACCTTTAAGGCTCCAGCGAAGCCCGGAGACGGGATCACAGCTCCCCACCTCGAATGCCACCGTCCCCGTCTCCCGAGGTCGGACCCCTAAGCCGCTGCGTTCCCCACTAAAGCTCGCGGCAGCGCTGCTCCCACTTGATTGGGTACTTCCTCGGCCAGAACAGGGGAGCCGAGAAGGGTTTGCGGTCGGCGAGTGAGATGCAATGAAGGAGTGGAGATCTCAGAAAAGCCCCTTGACAACCAATAAATGCCTCGTCGGAGATTCGTCACGGGCAATTACCACTCCCCACCCGTTTACGCTTTTCCGTACCGCCTTGTCGTTGGATGCGACCGCGGGACCCGCCACGTCGCCAGGTGTAGCAATCCGGGTTAGTGATACATGTAACACCAGATCGGAACGGTCGATGTGGGTTCCTCCGGTAGCGACACCTTTCTTTACGGCAACGTAACGCCGGTCACCGCACCGCTTCCAATCTCTCGTGTGTTTGCGGGTCTTAGAACGGACGCAATTGAGGTTGACTTGGTCACCCATGCAAGTGTTTTCAGGGATGACGTGGGCTCATAACGCGGTGGAACCCATCCGCAAAAGTACGAGCTTCACCAATGGATATGAGGAAAGGAAATATCACCTTAGAAAGTCCAACATCATTCATTCATTGAATATGAACATATTATTTTTTTTCTCGTACCAAATGATTGTTATATTTCTTTTTTTTATTTTCCATGTTATTCATTCCATTCAGACATCACACAATGTTCGTAGTTGAAGTCCATATGACACGAACTTCTGAGATATGTAATCAAAATTAGCTGGACAAGTCTTGTACTGTATTTGGTGGCACAACTCAGTGGTCCAGCCAAAGCAGACCACAGCATCATGTCAGCATCAAGTAGAAGAAAGAACCTTTCTTCCGAGTAAATGCAATGGAAGAAGATGGTTAGCTGCAGGCATCTTGACCCATAGCTGTGCCACCTCCCCTTCACCTTGACAACCAGTGGACTGCTGTGTGGACAGAATAAAAAGATTGGCACAGAAGAAGTTTCAACCTAATCATGACTGTGGGTTTGATCGGCTCAGCATGCAGTACAGATTTCATTGTTGGCAAATGGTCGAACCTTGCTGTCTTCTCTCTGACGCTACTGCTCTGCTTTTCCTCACTTTCTACCTACTCTGACAAGCTTAAATTTGTGTGACGACGATGCCAGCCTATCCAAAGCAATGAATGGGGGTCCATTTGGAGGGCTTGCCTTTGGGAATGCCACCGTGAGTTTGGATCCTCTGTTGTTCCATGTGTGTGCCTTGAGATTTGTGCATGTTCTTGGGTAGCACCCTTTGCTGATGGAATGCCATAAACAGGTTCATTCGTTAATGGTCTATATGGTCAAATAAATTAGACAATATTTGATATATAATGTTATTAATTCATTTAAATGTAATGCACCATATTACAAATGGGATTTTATCAAACAAACTCTAACATAATCTTTCAAAAATATAACATATTTTTTATTCCTCGTATAAGTTCTAAAAATTAAATCAAATTGATGATCAAATTTAACCTTTTCACTAGATATTAATTTACTGAATAATGCTTTATTATTCCACAACAGACAGTAGGCATGAGAAGGAGTGTAGATGCATCGTCTGGTTGATTTTTAAGGATAAATTTACTGAGACAAGCTGACATTGATTGAATGCCAGCATAAGTTGGGGATGCAGGGAAGAGCTGCACAAACAGATGCTGGTGCCATTTGGGGGGTAGGAAGCTTTTCCCCTCTGCCACTGTATTTATGATCACTTGTATTTATTGTCATCCAGTGAATGTCCACTGGTGTTTCTACCCCTACTAATATATTGGAGCTAAAAAGCTGTGTCAAACTATTAGATGCATTATTGATTCTGTGGAGGAAAAAAAAATATAGTACTCAAATAGTAACAATAAAATTAATAAAATGTATCAGTACAAAGATAATGAATATAAGATTTATTAGGTTGAATTCATTACTGTTTGCCCTTAAATTTCATGATTTCTTGTTTCTTATATATATATATATATATATATATATATATTTCAAACTTGAATTTGATGTATTCAAACTGAGGAATTGGCTTTGCTTATATGCATGAGGAAAAGTATTAATACTACACATAATTTTTCCTTTTTTTATATATCTTTTCCATTCGATATCAAATCTCATGACTATAAAACCGTAGAATTTGACGGCTTAATCATGTGATTTCATTTGGGTTGAATGTTGCTTAAATTAAAGCTTGGCGAAAGAAGATGTTTTATTGTTTTTCAATTGATATGAAAAGAAATTTTGAAGATTAATAAGATGTATATATACGTGAGTGAGGAATCATATTACGTTGAGATATCTCAACGTAAAAAATTATGTAGGAAAATAAAATTATTTTCCAATTTCTTATAGGACCTATAATGCATGGGCGAAATATCATTATCACTCCTAAGAAGCCACACTAGCATCCATCATGATCAAGCTACTATGACATCCCAATTATTAGTATATTGTTGCATAAGTGATAAGTTTCAGATTCGAAACCAAAAAACACAATCATGTCTACGGAATCACCGAATCTGCAATAGCTTCATTGACCTAATGATCCAAAATTGTCAACCTTATGACTGTGCACAAAGCATTCTGTCTCCTTTGACATTTTTGACAGTGACTGAGAGCTCTGTTTAATTATCTTTAGCACCGGTGCTTGAACAAAAATTGGCAAAAAGAATTCCTTCGGATTATGATACTGCTTAAGATTTGTTGGAGGATACTTTTAGTGAATCATCAAGATGTTTGTCTTTCACTTTTCAGTGAGTACCAAATTCCCATCCACAGTGACAAAAGTAATATGATGGAGGCTACTTAATCATGCATACTTAATTAATAACTCTGGTAATGTATGTGAAAGATTCTTTTGAACTCCATAGTTCCCCAACTTCTAAGATTCTGCATGTTGGAGCTCTATGGATGGCAGCCATCTTTAGCCAAGCAATTAACTAGTGTTAAAGATAAATAAAGGGTCCTTAATCTTCATACCTGTGACATAGAATCTTCCAAAAGCTTGCACTGGGGCTGCACAGGACAAAGAGAAAAAGGTGCCTAGGAAAATGAAGCAGGATGTTGCACTTGTTCCACAAGCATAGGTGCTTTGTTTTGTTCCTCTACTTGCATCACCTTTATAACGTTAATATTCTCACTATCTCATCATGAAAATTTCAGCTGTGGGGGCAGCAAAAGCATTGTAACTTAAGGATAGTTCTAATGGATGGATGATATCACATCTCTATTGTTTGTCTGTCTGTCTGCATGTCAAGAATTTGGGACTCTGTTAACACTATTGTATGAGAGATTTCGAAGTGATAAAACATCAAGTTACATCTCACTAGCTGTAAATCTTTAGCAAATTGCATACATAAATGACAAAAAAATATTTGCAATCTTGCTTGTCAGAAGAATGAAACAATGTCTTATTCTGAAAAAGGTCACATTTCAATTCTACATGTTTGTCAAATTGAAACTTCAAATCGCAGCCAGGCTAGCATATTATAAGACATATTTGGAATGAACCATAAGGTCACAAGAGAGTGCATCCAATCTTTCTTCGTACCTTTTAAGAACTGTAGGTTGGTCAGGAACAGAATTTTCTTAAGCACAAAAGAATAGCACCAAGCAACACAAAATGAAGGATGTTTCATTTATATTAGCAAGATCACTCTAAGTATGATAGTCAACAAATAAATAATTGAAACAGTTCCAGGTAGCAAGAAATGGCATCTGCTTTGTGGTGTTTTTACATGAAAGTAGGCATTTCAAATAATAAGAAGAATATGAGAACAGTGAACAATCACAAATCGGAGCAATCGAAACACATAAACAGCTTTCCAAAAGAATGTCTAGCTCAAGTGCTGAGTGCAGAACCTGACCCGTATGATTTCATTTCAACAAACATAAGGGCAACAGGGACATGGCAATGGCTGTCTGATGATTGTAGGCATATGAAACATATGAAGGACGGTTCTCAGCTAGCTGCCTGATTATATCATTGAATGATGCAATAACAGCACTTAGGCAGCAAGTTCACTCTCGAGGACTGGCTGTGTCCTTGTCACTGAAGCCACAGGTACCTGTGTATCTCCAACCCTAGCTGTTTGTAATGATACTCCGGCATCTGCATGCAGCTCCATTCGTGCCATCTTCTTATTCTGTTTATACCTGTGGATCCAATAACCGAGTAGAGCCAAGAACGCTAAAGCAACAAATCCACCAATCGCAGCGCCAACAATCTTCCACACCTTAGACTTGTTGCTCTTAGAACCACCAGGGCTTGGCCTTGGCCCCGGGGATACACTTGGTGCTGGGGAAGGTGCAATCTCACTAGAATTAACCACAATGGAGAAGTGGCCCTGTCGATATGTGGAACAAACATCGCTTGATACCAAGTCTCTGAAACGTGGCGAGCCATCTAATCCAAACCACACGCATCTGGCAATTGCACCATTCGGAACTGGGATAACATTTCTGAAATTAACAGAAACGGGTGATCCTGACACCACAACATTTAATTCAGGCAAGTTTGTGGCAGACAAATTTGCAGCATCATAAGCAAGGAGACCGAGAACTGGAGTCAGATAAGTATAACCAGGAAGAGGATAATACGAAGAAGACCAGTTGCCCAGATTATGGTAAACCAGTACCAACCTTTCCACATAAGGTTGTATAATGATGCCAACCGGTATCTTGAATTCCTTAAAACTCGTAACTCCTCTCTTTCTCAGGCTCCCACTTCTGAGCCTTAATGCTGCGATCTTGATGCCCGTGAGATTGGAAGGGACAGCACCATCATAGGTAATTCCAGTCCGGGGGCGAACAAAAGCACGGTAAGCATAGTCCTGAAGGAGAGCATCCAACGATCTTGCAGTGTCCATAGATGCACTCGGAGATTGGGCCTCATACTGGTATGCAAATAACACCGCGAGGAGTGCGAGGAGAATCATAACGTGGCGAACGAGCTCAGTGGGTACTAAGAACATCTCAGATCGCATCTTCAAAGGATGATCTCCAATATGGATTACAGTGCTAATATCTGGATTCCTTATTACTACTAGAAGATCTGGATGAAGCAACGGTTCACAGAGACTACAACATGATCTTGTTCATCCTCTATCAATTATAGTACTGAGTACATGGAGGCAATGCAGTTGACCAAGGATGAACAAAACACTGTTAAAGAGTGCTCAGATAAGATCAAATTACTGTCAACCAACTGTTGTGTGAAAGCATTAAACAAGATTCAAATTTCAGAAAATATAGGCTTGAATTTTGGGACATTCACATAGACTCATAAATCAACAGCAGAATCCAAGCTCAGGAGCTAAAAATTGGCCAAAGTACCTGAAACATGCATAACTGAGACCATGATACAGCCAAGATTGCTTCAAACTACAGCAATGCCTCTGCTTTCTTACCCTCTTCAACACGAATACCCCAAAAGAGCTCCAAAATCGATTGCAGACCACCATATAGTTGCAAAATTGCGTCTGGAGCTCAAAGCACCCACTAGCTAGAGGAAAAAGTCGATCTTTTTCCAATGCCCACCAATCCAGGAACCGACAAGCTTAGTCCGATTCAGCAGCGACGACCGAAGGAGAAATCCTCCCAAACAAAGCCCCAAATCACGCTGCAAACAGAGAAGGCCTCGCCAAGAAAGGCAAACACTGATCTCTCACCCGCAATGGACAGGATGCCAGCAATCGAGACCGAATCACAGCGAGGTAAAGGCTCCGAAAAACCCTAAAATCTCTCGAAAACCACGAAAGAAAAAGGAAAGGAAATCCTTTTTGGTAGAACAAGGTAATAGTGGAAAGAGAGGAGCAGAGAAGGGAAGGGAATGAGAACAATGGACGCTCACGAGCGATGGCCAAGTAACAGCACAGCGAAAACCCCACCGGCGTCTCCTCGCATTCCCCAAAATGCCCCCACCATCTTTTCCTTCATCGGCATTGTGCTTTTTCTTTTAAGCCCTTTCCGTAACGTTCCGATTCCATCTCCAACGCCCTATTTCTCCTTCGTAAAATTTCCATTTTCTAGGGGGCTTATCTGGAAAATACTAATTTTTGACCCCCAGCCATGTCCCAAGAACCGCTACTGGACCGTCCGATTGAGATCGTGCGGTCGACATCGAGAGGAAATGGACGAGATCCAGCTCACGGCGGGGGCCCACCGAATGCAATTGTGTCAGGGAGCCCTCAAAAGTGGACGCCCTTTCTGTAACGCGTGCTTTACAAGCCGCAGCGCCGGCGAAGGCTTCGGTGAGTTGAGTCCAACTGTGTGGTCGCTATTACTGGGTCTGCGAGAAGCCTTATGATATGAGTGTCAGTACTTATTCTAATCTTAGAGAGGGAGATGTGCTCAAATTTAAATGCAAAATTACATATATAAATATATACATATATATGATAAAAATATATAATATTATGCTAATATATGTTAGTTGACTGTTAGCTTGATGATATGAAACTGCATAAAGAATGGTCCTAACATCACCACCTCCAAATCTCTAGCTGATGACAACTAAAAGCCATTATAATCTTCCAAATATTTGACCTTTTTTTTTATCACTTTGATGTAATGCTTAAAATATTTATTTCTCTCTTAAAATTAAAGTGAATAAATAAAAAGGAAGCAAAACCAAATGTCATAGTCAAGAATTAGAAAAAAAAATGAAAATAATAATATTATTATTATATATCATTCAAAATTTATTTTTAATTGAAATTGGCTATTGAAAACTAACTAGAGTTTATTAGATGGATGCTAAGAGGAGTGACATTTGGAGGAATATCTATCTATATTAAAAATTTTATGGGGGCAAATTTTTTTATTTCAAAAGTTATAGAATGATATATATATATATATATATATATGTGTGTATGTATGTATGTATGTATGTATGTATGTATGTATGTATAAAGATCAGTATAAAAAAATCCTCTTTTCTTTTTTCCCCTCTATTATATCCTAATGATAAATTTAATCAATAAATGTATTTCTTTATTTTTAAAATTAAAATAATTAAAATACTGATTTTGATAGTTAAACTATCACAAATGTTATTAAAAATCTTATAAAAGAATATACTTTCTGTCATGAAATTAATTCGAAAAATTTTATGATAAAAAAATAAAAATATATAAAAAAAAGGTTGATAGCAGATAAGATTTCCTCAACTATATGAGGAAATCTCTAGGGAAATCCTCTATTCTGTTAAGGAAAATTTTATCTCCTAATCTGAATAAATAGGAGAGGGACATATTAATGTATTCAAGCTAAAACTATTTCAATAAAACTCTTCACAATAAAGTGAAAACTTGGAGGAGAGACAAACAAAGAGTAAGAGTGATAGAATAAACAGAGGAAAAAAATCTTGAAAAAAATAAATAATTACATTCAGTGATTAATGTGAATTAAAAAATGATCAAGTTAGAGAACTTTCACCAATAGTGATTTTAAGTAATATAATTCTGTTTTTTACTTGGAATAAAGAAACATAATCTCATCACAGACACGATGAAATGGGCAAGACAGATCTAAGCACACCAAGAAAAGCATGCAACCTATTGCGTGTAGCCGACTATAGAGAAATGGTGTCATTTCCATTATGGCGTGGCATGACAGACACAGAGAGCTGTCAGAGCGTGCAGTGTCCGGTCATCCATGTGGACGTACATCGCATGCGTCCACTCCTCATAAATTTGTTTTTGCCACACGATGATTGCCCACTTAAATAGGAGGAAGGCGAAGGCTGGCTGGCTCCCAATCTCTCTGCGTCTGTAATAATATGGTACGGGCGACATCTCTCTTCCTTTCTTCTCCCTCTCTTTGTTGTAGAGAGTTCGGTAAATAGAGGCCGTCATCGGAAAGGATAATTCTTCATCCCTCATATATTATTGTAATGTGGAGTAAAATGTCACATCAGATTTATTATTGTAGCGCTACTTTTACCCAACGCTTCGTTTCGGAGGACAGGACGCGACGCGTAGGGAGGGAGAGAAGGCGGGCGATGGAGGAGAAGAGAAGGTCGAGTTGGGTGAGATTGAAGGGGAGGGAGACCGCCACGCGGCAGGGCGGCATCTCCCGAGGGACGTTTGTCGCTTTGTTGTCGCCACGTGGCCCGACTCCAGCCCCTCTGGGCCCGGAATCCGAGCTGGATTCCGCTGTGCCGGATGTGGACTTTTTGGCTTCTTCGGGTACGTGTCCTTTCCCCATTGGCGGCTCTGGATCATCGCGGTGAGATACCGCCTATATCATTATTGGAATCTTGATATTTATCTAAGTAAAATATTGAAATAAAAATTTTATAAGATTAAAAATAAAAAAAGAAAGATTTTGTTCGAGTAACGAGGTTAAATGTTTCATTTTCGTAAGTATAAAGATTTTAATATAATTTTTAAAATTAAAAAAATAAAATATTAAAAATAAATAATTATATGAGATAATTTGTAATTAAATTATAAATTACATAATAAATTTTGACGAGTGGGCTCATGGGTTGAGTTCAGATCTAGAGATTTAGAACTAATTGTAAGTTTGAGAATAATATATTTACATCAATCGTTTTGTTAGAATTAAATAAGTGATTATTATATTTTTTTTGTATCATAATATTATTTTTTATAGGTCACTGTTAAGTTAGATAGATTTTGATTATCTAACATGAATATAAATTCTGAATTAATTGAGGTTCGTTAGAAGACGATGTGGTATGATGAACGAGTCCAAACTAAGGCTTTATAAATTGATGTGGATACATATCTCGATATCTCTTTGATATTTAAATTGATTTGGGTTCGAAGGATTTAATTAAACGTAGATTTGTTGAGTCAACTTTCTATCGAAACTATTTAATTTATTAATGTAAATTGGCTGCAAGTATATGATTGACAGTATGAGCACCTTTGTAGATGAATACAGCATGACCAAACAAGAAAATGTTTGTCACTGACATGACATACTCTAACATTAGTCTAAATCTGTGGCCAGGCAAAGGCCCACAGTAACCAAACCTGATGGGTAGGTTGGAAGAAGCTTCCCTTTGGCATACCTGCAAGGAGGAGAGTTAGCATTCCAAAGAGTGGAAAGATGAAACAAGGAGCAATTAAGACACCCTTCAGACGACACTAAATACTTGGGATAAGCCTTTGTGAGACATACAGAATGAAGGGACTGAATGCCCGATTTGAATATCTAAGAGCAGGTTCTCCTTTAATCGACCCTTTAGTTGAGAGCAAATGACTTGCAGAGGGCACTGCAAGCAGTTGTGGTTATAAACTCTCTGCACATTCGAATGATGGCAATTGATAAGATTCTAATAAATGGACATATTATATTTGTTATTGAATTGTTCTTGATCGATTTTTAAAAGATTATCGTGACTTGAGGATCGGATCTTTGGATGTTTCTTTGGAACTGTTGGCTCGAGACAAGTCCCTCCAATCATTTGGAGTGACCGGCACGTCAACACCATATGATATCTCGATTTAGTTATATATTAAATATAGAATTTTTTTTTTGAATTGACTTATGAAGATTAAATGAGTTTGTTATTATTAACTTTGAGGCTAAATATCTTAAATCAATAGTGTTAGTTTAATGCATCAAATATGGATCAAATATATTTTATAGAACCAAAATTGAATTTTAGAATGTTTTCGTAAAAATTTAAAACATATTAATATGAAAACGTATCTGATGTTTAATCGGTGAATTAGCCTTCCAATTATAGAGTATATCTAAGAACCCTTTTGTTTCTCTTTAACGGGTGAAGAAAAATATGAAAATTAATACTACAATCAAGGATCGTAACCCTATTTATTGAAATGTCCTAGGATATTTCATATTCCTAACTTGTTTCGTAATTAAGTTAGAAATGTAACGGATGGTATTCACATAATTAATTTTCATAATAATTATACCATTTAGCCAAATAACTTTATTTTAATTAGTTCACTTTAATTTTGGCTAATCGAAATAACGACTTAACATATTTAATTATACATGTGTGACCCTTAAAATTCTAACAATATGGTCACATATGTATCCTTATAAATATGCTATACTTTATGAGCTCAAAATTATTGTCATTATTAAATAGGACATATAAAACAATCTCGTCTGACCATATTAGTATAGGACCAAAACGGTATTCACTATGTCAATTATAGTTAAACTCATGAATGATCACTAATATTAACATAACCAAATTGCATAAATCAATCATAAAATGTGTAGCATAAAAATTACATGAATATGATCTATACATATCAATTTTTAACTGGTCCGGCTTTATCTTTATGAAATTATTAATAACTTTAATAGTCATAATGTATAAAGTATAATAAACTAAAGCTTTATTTTTGATAAAAAAAGATCTATATAAATATAGAATCTGACATAAAGCATACAACAAACATATGACAAACTCCCACAAAATTAAAGTTTTCTCAAATTCTAATATATTCATATGAGCAGTATGCTCGAAAGACCTTAAGTGATATATCTTTTGTAAAAGAATATGGCAACATAAAGTTTGTCACTAAGTGTTCTATAAAAATTTGTCTACTTTGTACCATTTCTTTCACAACTAGGAACTTGATGTCAATGTGCTTTGACTTAGTCGAGCTCCTATTATTATTGGAGTATAAAACAACTAATTTATTATTAAGTATATCTTTAGTGGTCTTTAAATCTCTTATGCTATTTTTAGTCCAATGATAAAATTTTTCAACCAAATTCCATGATTAGACGCCTCAAAACATGCTACAAATTTTATTGTCATGATGGAAGAAGTAATAAGAGATTATTTGGTACTATGCCACGAAATCGCCCCACCAACTAACATATAAATGTAGCATGAAGTAGATTTTCTACTATCTTGGCATCTAGC